AGTTCGGCCTCTTGTTCGCTGCCCACAAGCCCTCGGGCTGCATGGTTTCGGGCTTGAAGAAGTACCCACACCTCCCTACAGACCTGGACAAAGATTGGCTGTCCAGAGCCTATCCCAAAGACCCACCTTCGATGGTAGATCTCCCACAGCTTTTCGAGCTAGGAGCCCAGTGCCCGATGCGATCCACCAGCAAGCTCCTTTCCAGTTGCTCGAAAAAGAAGCTTCAACCCTTGGTGGACAAGGTTGAGGACCGACTCCTCGAGTTGTTCAAAAGCTTGTTGGGTGGCAACTGGCAGGCCGCCCTGCAGGGTGGCAAAGAAAGCTCGAGCAGTGGTGCCAAGATCACTTTCTTTGACCATGTGAAGGATGGCAACCATGGGCCAGGCGACGGCATGCAGGGCTTGTCTAAGGAGGATGTAAGCAAGCAGCTAGCTTTGCCACTAACGAACCAGCCGTCTGCAGCTGCAGAGCAGCAGCAGCAGCAGCAGCAGCACCCGTCACCGGGAGTGCAGGACCCGCCTGCTTTGCAGCAGAAGGGGCATGCAGCGGGCTCGGGTAACTTGTCGTTGGAGGAGTACGAGAAGCAGGCAATGATCGAGGTTGAAGAGAAGACCAAAAATGGGAGGAATTCCAACAAGCAGGGCACCGGCCAAAAGGACAAGAATCCCATGAAGAAGCAGGGCACCGGCAAAAAGAACAAGAATCCCATGAAGAAGCAGGGCACCGGCAAAAAGAACAATCCCATGAAGAAGCAGACCACCGGCGACAAGGACAAGCATCAGACGAAGGCGAAGAAAGTGATGAAAAAGCCTGCTGCTAAGAAAGCTGCAGAGGGCTACGGTTGCAAGCGATGCCGAGGTAGCGGCTGTGATGTTTGCGAGAACCCGAACTTTGCGGGGATGAGGTTGGTTGGTAGAGAAGCTTGGAAGGCTTATATGCACCAGCAAAAGCGAAAGCTTTGCTAGATTGTTGTTTTAGCTTGCTTGCAGAAACTGCATGCAGCTTGGAGTGATCGTACAGTTGATCCACTCATGGGGCAAGGGTGTGCACATACATGCATGCTGCGAAGTCAGGAATGACATGATCGTGCCGGGGACTTTTGCAATGCGAGGCAAACATGAATGCTTGCAGCTTGTGTTGCCATGTCTGCATGTTGCCTTCAGATGCTACATGAGCATGTCCGTGCATGGCTATATCAGTTCAGGCCGTGCATGCATGTGCAATCGGGCACAAGGAAGACTATAAAGTCTATCTGTAAGGTTTTTTTAGTATTACGGTTCAGTGTTTGCGGTTTATACAATGTTACGTAGGTTCTTTTCAGACTATGAGTGTTTGTAAGGTACATTTGCCCCGAAGTTTTTGTAAGAGTAACTTGCATGTGAAAGGTATGCAACCCTCTGTACTGCATATATGAAAGCGCTTTCGTGTGTTCGTGTGTCTATATGCATATGTATATGCAAGCATACTTACCCATATAGGTATATACATACAGGTTCCTTCGTTGCAGCATATATACTTGAACATACATGCATACATGCATACATGCATGCACATACATACATCAGACATACATACATACAATCTGCAGGTCTATATACATATAGATACATTTATGTACATACATATCCATATATACTGCCATGCATGCATACATATATACATACACGTATATTTGTAAATGCATACACACACACAAGCTTACACATGCATGCACATATATAGAGACATATATTATACCTTCATCATAGACAGAACTGTATACACAAAGAGTGCATGAAGCATTCTTTGTGCATTGTTTCGAAGCAAGATGGAAGCTGCATCGACATCTTCGGCACCTAGAAAGAAGCAACAGCGGGGGCACGAAGCAGAAAGCTCTCGCTCGGCCAAACTACAGAGATTGGATGGGTTCAGAAGGCAGTTGCCTTTTGTTACTTGCTCAGCTTTGAGTTGCATCTTGAGTTTGGTCGAAAAGGAAGGAATTCCAGAAAAGCATTCGAGGCATGACATGAAGCAAGCAGTGAAACAGGCCATTGCAAGTTGCACTGCCTATGGGGCCCTTGTGCAACAACTTCCGGCGAAGTCACTGGCCGGTGCAGACCTTAACATACCATGCATCAACCTGGCGAGTCTTATTCAGGGCATGTATGCAGCAGGTGGTTATTTTTACCAAATGTTGAATCATGTGCACGAAGCATCACCATCCAGCATAGGATCCCCCTGGCGGGGGGTCCTTTATTCCGATGAAGTACACCCGGGCAATCAGTTGTCCTCCCAAGGGCGAAAAGTCTGGGCGGTGTATTTCTCGTTTCTGGAGCTGTCACCGAAGTTGCTTTCGAACGAGCATCATTGGTTTACACTGATGGTGGTCAGAACCGAACTGGTGCAGAAGGTGTCGGCTGGTATAGGCCAATGTTTGAGGTTGCTGCTTGAGTCCATGTTTGCCAACGAGTTCGGAAATCCAGAGCATGGCTTGGCATTGAAGGGGCCGAGCAAAAGCATCAGACTATTCTTTACACTTGCTATGACACTTCAGGACGGAAGTGCACAGAAACACACATACTCGAACCGGCAAGATGCCGGTTCGAGAGTTTGCATGCTTTGTAAGAACATCTTTTCCCTACGGTCAAAAAGCTCTGAGGATGATGTCAAGATATCGGCAAAACATTTGACATGGGATGCATGCCATCAAGCTACAGACGATGAGCTCTTGGAATCGTGGGAACGAATGGAATCAAGACACCGGACAGAGTCCAAAAGCAAGTTCCAACAGTGGCAACAGGCTTGTGGGTGGTCTTTCTCGCCGCATGCCCTGATGATGAGCACTGTTCTACGAAGTCTGAATGTATTGCGGCCGGCTTCGCAATATTGCTTTGATTGGATGCATTCTTTATGCAGCATGGGAGTCCTCAACTGCATAATCCTGTGGGTGCTGGAAGCCACTGGAAAAGCTGCTACCTTTCATGACTACTTGCAACTCTGGCAATGGCCGAAAGCCCAGAAAGCAGCGGCACTGCACAAGCTGTTCAGCCAGGAGAAGATGAAGGCACACAGGAAGGCAAATTACATCAAATGCTCAGCCTCTGAGGTTTTAGCAATTTCAAAGCCTTTAGAATATTTTTTGCATACCTGCTGCCCCAGCCCGGATGACACTCTTGCAAAGGAAGCTTGCTTGTCTTGGTTGGAAGTCTTGGCCATCTTGATAGCTTGTACACTACAACTGCCTCCAGCAGGCCTTTTGTTGCAGACTGTCGAGCGAGCATTGTCCCCCTCACCGTCGCCGCCGGGTGGGGAGACCAGATGGCTCCGAAGTTTCATTGGTGTTTACATTTTGAGGCATGTCTGTCACGATTTCGATGCATGCCAGCATGCTGGACACTGGAGCGAAAACACAAATCAGTGCGAAAATACGGCACAGCTACCAGCAACACCACCAACTTTGAACAAGGGTTATTGGAGGAGACAAATGCTGAACAGCTTGCCTTGCTTTCGAGCGACACTCCATTTCGAGCTGGCCCTCATCTCCTGCAGCCTCACCCCGTATCCGCCAAAGTAATGGCACAACTTCTGCAGAGCAACATCGTGTCTGAGAGTGATTCCTGCAACTGCAGCAAAGAGTGCCGGCTAGCTTCTGGTGCTGTCTTGCATACCGGTGATGTTGTTTTGCACCATGCAGCTGCCGACAATGAATCACCCATCCCCTTTTGCTGTGGCCGACTCCAATGGCTTATCGAAGTGGACGGCTATGTTGCAGGTGTTGTGTCCAGATGCGAGTATGTTTCCCATGATGCAGTGAAGCAAGTGGCCAAGTGGAGGATTGCAGGTGAAGCCCTATCCATCATGCAGGTTGATGCTTTCCTGTGCAGTGTAGTTTACAATAACAATGCAGGCATTCTCACCACCCTGCTACCCCGCCACCTGTGCAACAGCATGGCTTGAAGATGTTGCCGGCAAGAAAATCGCAGCAGCCATGCTTATATATGCATGCAACTGATGCTCCACGATCTGTGTTTATTCTTGCATGCATGCAGCATGATTGTAGTACGTATGCATTCATGTCCGATGTTGTGCATAGCATGCATGCACGACATGCATCATGCATGCCTTCATGCTTCGTACACATGGCATGCATGCAGCATGCAAGGCTCCATTGACAAGCATCATGCAAGCCTTCATGTTCCATGTGCAGCATGCAATGCTCCATGCATGCCATGCATGCTCCATGTCATGCATGCAGCATGCAGTGCATGCAGCATGCAGTGCTCCATGGACATGCATCATGCATGCGATCGTGCTCCATGATGCATGCCATGCATGCAGCAGGATTGTAGCAAGAATGCCTCCATGCTCGATTGTGCATGGCATGCATGCAGCATGCAATGCTTCATGGCAAGCCTCATGCAAGCCTTCGAGCAGGCTCCATGTGCATGGCATGCATGCAGCATGCAATGCTCCGTGACATGCTGCCATGCATGCATGCAACAAAACAATACTCCATGTCATGCATCTCGCAGACGACGAATGGGATTTGGACGGTACTTTTGCAGGCAGGCATGCTTTTGCTGGAGCCAGTTGAGCTGCATGCTTGTTTGCTTCTCGAACAGCTAGTTGGGTTGATTCTAATTTTCAACCCTCTGAGATCTGTATTCTCGCTTTGTTAATTCTTTGATTTTTGTGCTGTAGACTTTTGTTTTCTTTGCTTTTAACTCGCAAATTACCGAAAACAATTTTGAGATTTCACTTCTCAAATCTTCATGTTCTGTTATTACATAACCATAAATTTCACCATTGATATACTTAGTTTCCAGGTTGCTAACCCCTTAGCCTAACTTCGCTAAACCCCCTTAATAAAGCCCCTAAGTTGCTTAGCTAACCCTCGCAATTGTACCAACCACTTATAACATGTTAGCAACACCCGAAACATTCAAGTAGGTTTCGCAGCTGGCAAGTCAGGTTCCACACCTCACACTTTGGCAACGCAGCCTGGATTTTGCTCCTGGCAGGAGCCGGGAGCTTCACCCAGCAAGTCGACTGCCAGTGAAGGCGACGAGTGAGCTGAGCGCATGGCATGGGCTTCATCTGCGGAGCGAGCGCTTCTTTCTTATCTTGACGTGTTTTAGGTGGGAGTATCGCCCTGCAATCCATCAATGAAGAGAGCTTTGCAGAGGCAGTTGACAAGGACATCGATGGGATGTGTGCCATGTCCGAATTGCATGGATGGCAAAATTCTTGACCTCGTGCAAGGGGGACTCTGTCCTAGCAGCATTGAGCAAGACTGCTGGCATTCAGGAAGATGAAGGCTGGGTGCTGGGGAGAGGGCTGTTATTAAATTGGGATCCAATCTTGCATTCCCTGGCCAGACCGGCGGCTGGTAGAATTGCTGCTGCGATTCGACCCGTTGAGGCTGCGAACTGAGCAGGCATCTCAGCATTTTTGCGCTGCGGTTGTGCGACACAGACACCGCAGTCGTGTTCTGTTGTTCAAACCGCCGCAGCGATCCTGGCCTGTGTGGCTCTGATGTGCAGAAACCTTCTGTTGCCCACTAGCGAGCAACCTGAAGAGACGATAAACGAAAGCAAAAGAGAAGCAACACGCGTTTGACCTTTTCAGCCGAGGTTCCAGCCGCTGTTGCTGCACCGTATGCACTACCAGGGTATGGCAGAGCAGGACCGAAATTTCAAATGCCATTTGGGCGTGTTGAGTTTGACTACTGACGACAGGAGCGATCACCTAGGAAGGAGGAAGGGCCCAACGCACGGCGCTCAGCTTTGGCGAAGTGAAGCTACATTCATCTCTGGGACGTCACGGTCAGAGATTTTTTCACAAACAAACGGTTTAAGTGGTAAATTGGAAACCCAATGCCAAACTGCTGACTTTTCTGAAGCAGGTGGTCAACCCTGTCATTGATGCGCAGTCTCGTTCTTTGGCCGAGAAGTTGCTGGAGAAGCAAAGAAGCCTGGCAGCTCAGGAGAAAAGAAGTAGGTTGACTTGTTGCCACTGCGCCTCAACAGCTGGCATGCTCAGGTGAGTCTGGAAAAGCCACACACGCAGAGCTTCTTTTTTGGCGGCACAAGCAAGTTCAGGCTTCTATTGCATCCGATGTGGCATGTAGATGTGTCGTGTGAGCTTGCACCACATCGCCAGGCGCGAAAAGAGTCCTTAAGAAAGCAGCTCAACCAGGAGGAGGCAAGACAAGAGTGGCAATAGCCAAGCAGCAGACTGGATATTCGTCGTCAGGAAAAGGGCTGCACGTTCCGACCGAAGTGCAATCCGTCCAAGCTCGGACCTCGCAGAGATTTTCGGAGCGTTGCTCGGACCCTCAAAGTTCCGAGGCCGAAGGACGGACACGTCGAGATACAGACGCCGCCGGGCAGCACCCGATCAGAGGCGAAACCGTCGGATTGTGAAGGGCAGTCCGAGTCCGGCAAGTGCTTGTCTTGGGGTAGTAGTGAAGTCTAATATGGTGTCTTGTGGCCTTGTTGTCGCCCAGAATCTTCGTATAAATCCAACCAGCTGAACACATGCACACCATCGCCCCGTACTTCCTCTTTACTACCCGTCTTCCGACTCCTTCCGGCTGACTCGTGTGCCATCCTGGAGCAGCACGTGCACGAAGAATGACGGGTGCTCTTGTGCAACTTCTGTCTAAGATGAAGCTACATGGTGTGCGGCGTGTTGGCGCCCGTACACTTTCCAATCTTCGAGAGCACGAAAACACTAAAAACATGCGGTATGTAAGTCATGTAGGCTGCAAGAGGGGCTGTGGGACAAAACACGCTAGGGCTTGGAGGCAGCAGACCAGGCCTCATACTGCGGCGAAGTCTGCCACGCCCCTCAGCCAGAGTGCTGCGGCGGCATGCTTGTCTCTCGCAAGCTGTCCGAGAAAATGTTCTAGATTGAATATGACTGAGACAAAGGATATGCTGGAAACCAGAAGGATGAGTGTCATCTCTCCCCCCTCCTCCCGCCTCCCCCCGCAGACCCCGAAACAGCAGAAAGCTCGTCAATACCAAGTCAAGAAAGTGAGAAATACAGGAAACCGTCAAGGCCTGAAGAGTCTGTAAACACCACAATTTTGGAAAGGAAAAGATAATGCTTGACAAACCGAAGACTCCGAAACGACAGACACCTCGTACACACCGAGTCCAAGAGATGAAAAGTAAACGAAAATGCAGGGGCGTGTACGCGCCAGGGTCCAACTGCATGCCCGACTCTTCCGCACTGACCTGCGATTGCTCTTGCAGCTATACGACTGCATACGACTGCAACAAGCCTCGCAGCACGGTGCCAACCCGCAGACTGGCAAGCTTTCGCCATGGTCAAATGTCCTTTCGTTTGTGTTGTCCACCAACGGCTGGGGTCCTGAGCCACCGTCCAGACAAGGCCGAGTCAGATGAATTGTAGAGTTTCGGCAGAGGGCCAGACAGGCAGGAAAGATAAGAAAACACGAGTATACTGAGCGAAACCTCGGATCTCACATGCTCCTCTGCCAATGCACGAAGACTGGCAAGTGTGCTGAAAATGGAGATCGCCTTACGTTGCTCCGGAGGTTCTGTATGCTCGAGGTCTTGCTGATAAAGAACGGCGGAAGGCCAAGGCAGGACAAGCGGGGGGCCAGTAGGTTGAACTCCTGACCTAATCATCCGCATCCAAGCAGGTTCTTGAGAGCGAGAAGGCCAGAAGCACAGCCGAGGCTCATTCATGGTTGAACGAACCTGCAGTATTTGCCAGTGCCCTGACTTGTTATTCTAGCATCGTGTGGCTTCATGCCATGGCTTTCCTAATTCAATTGAAAGCTGCCAGCTTGCCACGCGCCAGGCGCGAGGATGCACATTCCGACCAAATCTTTCCAAGAGCGTCAAGAGGCATCTGACCCATGCATTGTGCATGTCACTGCATGTCTGTGGGGGTTTTTGCCTTTGCACCAGACCAACGCAATTTTTTCCTTCGCCGGCTGTGTCGCCAGTATCCGGGCACTTGGAACACGATCGGGGTGACACTTAGGGAAAAAGACACTGAGGTTGCTCAGTGAGTTGGGATTGTACCGAATGTAGAAAACATTTGCTTCTGACTGGATTCGCTGTGCTTGTAGGCTTATGTGGGCTTGTGCGTGTGCGTTTAGTGGTGCGTTTCAATGAGGTTGTCGTATACCGCGGCGAAGCCGATCCCTGTCAACCTCCGCCGGTTCTTGGTTGTTGTCGTCGTCTTCTTGTTTTGTCGTCCATGCACCATCCTGACTGGTGGGATTGAGGGAGCAAGGGTAAGGTTGACTTGCCGCTCACGAGCTGCAGCACAAGTGGCCGTAGTGCTGGTAATCAGCCTCGAGTGGAACGTGGGCACCGACGAGAAACGGCAGCTTACAGGAGAGCCGGTCTTCAGCAAGCGCCGTACGAACATGCCGAAGTGACAAAGCACCATGCTACCCCACGCAAACAGAGAGGATGGCAATGCCAACGTGCCAAGACCTGCACCCATGTCTTCTGCTGCTTCTGTTTCCTTGCTGGGTCGTGGTGCTCTCTTGGGCTATCCGAGTGCTGCTTGCTAGCTGGGGCCGTGGTCGTGCTGACAGTTCCGCTCTGCGGACAGCACATTGCAGCCCAGCCGGATTCCGTATCGTGTCTCTGGCTCATGATAATTCTGTCTCAGCCGATGAGTGGCCAATGGTGTTATTGAAAGCTTATGAGCTTGCCTGTCGCAGTTACCACAAGACTCAGAAGACAACGCAGGCACGCATTGCAAGTCCCCGATTTTGCTTGAGGCTGTCTGTGCATCCTCTGCAAAGGTGCCTCGAGGCTTCTATGAAACGCGCCAAAGAATACGCGCTGCCTATGAAATCCGTGAGAAGGTGTTACTGCAACAGGAGGCTTCGCGGAAGTTTCTGGAAGGGTATGCAGCGTCCGATTTGTGGTGAGCTTCCCCTTGGTAGGACCGAATGGCCAAGATCGAGCAGACGGTCCCGTACCAGGCAAGGCATTCAGCATACCTTGACAGTTTCTTGCGGTATTTACCTCTCAAGCAGGTGTCAGGGCCTACTTCAGCCCCTCTGGTTGCGGTCTTAGTTATATGTCAGTGTTGATCAGCGGATCTTGCCATGGCTTGTTGGCTCGCTCGAGCTGCTCAGGTTGGCAAGAGCCCGCTTCCTTCCACAGGCTCCGGCTGCGTGATTGGTCCCACTCCTGATAGTCGGCCTGTGCGCTGCCATGAAAGAAAAAGCGACACTCGAGAAATGTATAGATAGACATCCTTCCACGATTTGAGTGTTCCTCTGCCAGGCAACTCGCCCGGCCTCTCTCCAGTGCCTGAGGCGGTCTGATGCTTTAGTTAATTACTGTTCTTGCAATCCTCGGCTGGCTTTCCTGCCATTTTTTCCATGGCTGCTTGCCAGTCCCCGGCGAAGCCGGCGCCCCAGCTGGCCAAGCCTGGCACACAAGAGTGCAGGGCGGATGCTTGAGCGGTCTGCAGACGATGACGAGACGCCTGCTTTCTGCAGGGATCCGCGGCAGCGACCAGGAAAGGCTGTTGCAACAGGTCGCCCTATTTGGGTCCCCATGATTGCAGATCCATGCGGACACACCTGGACCTGGAGGGCACACAAGCTTCACGCCACCGCGGCGCAGCGGCGACGCTTCGGAGGCAGCGCCTGCATCGCCTGCCAGACCAGGCCTGCGGGCCCAGATACGCTTGGCATTTTTTCAGGAGATGCGCCCCGAAGCCGAAGGCCAGCACGATGTCAGATTCACGGATTTCAGAAGTCGATGCGCCGGCGGCACACCAAGGAGCGGGTCTCGATTCTCAGCCTGCTGGAGATGAAGGCTGAAATGAAGACCCTCATGTGTTTGCATTTCGAATCAGACCTGAAGCGGCCATCAGGCAATGCCGAAGGCAATGCCAGTCCAAAGGAGCGGGCTCAGGACATGCTACCAGCCGCCGTAAGAAGCTCGCCTTCGGTCTCAACTTCACATGACCTTCATCATCCTCCGTCAACCTCTGTTCGGTCAGAGCTTGTAGCCTCGTCCTTTAGATACCAACCTTTTTCAGACATAAGTCTGTTACAGATTATCGACATGGATTGCCGGACACTTCCTGACGTCCACCTCTCTCCTCAACAGCATAAGTCTGGTCAGATCTGCTTTTGGTAGAGGCTCCCCTGACATATGTTACATGTCACTGACGTCCTCCGGTAGACACCTCCGCATGTCGGATAGCCCGGTAGGATAATCGAGGTTCGCCTGCGAGTCAGACTGAGGCAGAGGTGTTCGTTTACGGGTCACCTTCGTCAGATAACTCCGCCTGTCAGATCTTCTCCCGTCTTTGACAAGGTTGCAGATTGCCGTGATCACAGATGACCTCGGTCAGATACATTCCTTAGTGCCGGTATCCTCCGTTGGATGCTTCGCCCCCTCAAATGCAGGTTGGTAACTTCCCGATATCCACCAGATACAATCCAGGAGGATATACCACCAGATGCGCCGCCCATGCTTTATGCGACTTCGGCTGCATTTTTAGGCATGTCGCTTTGGTTGCGGACGGATTCGGAAACAGGAAAGCGGAATCGGAAACTGAAGAGCGCGGCTTTTCAAACGGATTACATGGATTCGGAAGCTAGACGCGCGTATTCAGAAACTCACGAACCCGGAGTAGTTTCTGAAGCTGCTGCACGTAGAACTCGAAGCTCTGGCAATTGCGTTTGATTTTTGAACTGCAATCAAGGACAAGGGTTTATGGTTTGGGTTTGAGTTAGGATTTAGGGTTTAAGGTTTGAGGAAAGTTGAGGGTTCGGTTTAGGGTGAGGGTAAGGATGAGGGTACAATGACATCCGTGTATAAGAACTCCATTCCGCGAGAGTAGCCTACCCTAAGGTAAAACTGCTTTGTACTTGGTGAGCACTGGGTGAGCAGTTTTCATTGCAAGCAGAGCTGAAACGAAATGCATGTGCCATCTCGGTTCAAGGTTTTGAGCCAAAACGGCGTAGAGTTTTTGCTCTGCAGGAGGGACCTGCTATCATGGAATATGCGATTGCTCGCTTGGCTGTGCACACCAACGAACAGGTGTTTCACCCCGCCGCTATTCTCGACTGCCGGGCTAGGTTGCGTGAGCTGGTTGCAGCGGGGGCCTCTTACGAAGCTGCCTTGCTCTGGGACCCAGCTCTCGAGATTCTGCATGTTCCGCCCGCGCCCCACCCCCCCTGCAGACGTTCTTGACGCCCTGCCGCCAGGAGTGCCTCCGATTCGCGTCGTGCCCTGTGTGCGCATGTTGTCGGGACCGCCGGGGGGGCTACCAATTTCCATTTGTTGGCACCTTGAGTCGGAGGTCGGTGGTGGTGGCACCGGGTACCATTCCAATGGCCTTTGGGAGCATTATCACGGGAATGCCCAAACCTTGTCAGTTATGCAGGTGCTGGGGGTGGCAAGCGGCCTTTGGCGGACCGACCTCCTGCCAGACCATGCCAATCGCTTGGTTCAACATGTCAGGCTGCAGCAGCACGCTCGGGGCGTTACCCTAGAGCAATTGTGGAAGCTGTGGTGCGCGTGGCACCAGGGACACCGAGTGTGGAGGGAACCGGGGTACGAGAGCGTACTTTCCCGAGAAGCAGGACGAACCTCCGAGGTGGCGCGGGCGCACCATGCGTTGTGGTTGCTGCTGGGGGCGCTCGAGGCAGGCATGGTGGCATTGCCATCGCCTTGTGGTTCGTGCGGTTGCCATTCTGCATTGCGCTGGCCCGCTTTGTTTGGACTGCCTGGCGGGATGCATTCAGTGCGCCTAGGTCTTCGAGCTTGTCTGGGCCAGGGCGGTGGTCGGGGACTTTGCTGTATAATCGGGGCGGCACCCCGGATCAGGGGCACAGGTATTTGGGGGCCGGGCTGTGGTCGGTAACCGCATTCCGTGCACCCCTTTTCCTATGAAGCCGTTAGTGCTGGGGCGCAGTGTTTGAAGGTTGGCGGTGCTACTGGCAAGGTGCTCCGGGACGAGTTTGCTGGGACAGGTTCTTTGCACTTTCAAGTGGTTGCAGGGTTGCTCCGCCTAAGTCGCAGGTACCATGCCCGGCTCCGTAGCTTCGTCGGCTCGCTCAGTTGGTTTCGGGCCTTGGGGTGTGGAACACCATGGCTGGTATCTACGCAGCGCAGGATTCAAAAAGGGGTAGCACCCTTTCTGGTCTGTCCGACAGCCCTGGGAATCCCCTAAGAGGCTTGTTGTGTAGCACACTTGTGTGCGCAGTAACAACCGTGAACGGCGTAGCTGCCTTCAGCACTCTGGCTCGACGCGACTTTCGCCTAAGCTTTTTCTCCCACCCACGCCACCCTTAGGGTTCGGCGGCGGTCAGTCCGCAGCGGACCGGTGCTGAAATGCGCACCCGGCGCCGGCTGTAGGACCTGAACCTGCACGCCGAGCGGCGCTTTCAGCGCTATACATCCACACGACGAAAAAGAGAGTCGTCCAGTTTGGCGTCAGAGCTAAGAGTGCGACGGTTGTTCCCAAACCACCCCCTCATCATCTTTACTGGACTGTCCGACGGCGTTGGGTTTTGTGGGAGGCTGGCTGTCGTAATACTACCACGACGACAACTGCTATTACTGCTACTACTGCTACTACTACTGCTACTGCTACTACTACTACTACTACTACTACTACTACTACTACTCCTACTACTACTACTACTACTGCTACCAGCATGTTTTAACACGAGAAGGACTCAGGAAGCCCTGTAAAAGCCACTGACATGCTCTGTCAAGTGGGCGGCGTCCTTCGTTCTGCGTCACAACTTGGGCTTGCCACGAGGTACAGCAAAGAAAATGGACAGCCCAGATACAGCGACCCAGTTGATGCAGGCATACCATTTTTCAAAAATGGTGCTGAGAGAAAAGGCTCTGGTCAACATGCCGGCAAGTGCAGATAAGCAGTTGCTGGCATGGGGCCATTATGAGCCCAAGCGCAGGTTCAATGCAGACACGACAGGTCTGAACCTGTTCGCAGCACATACCAGAATGTTTACAAAGCCAGAGGAGTGTGCGACAAAGCCAGAGGAGTGTGCACTCGGGATATCACCAAAGTTGTCGACCCTGACAACAGCCAGAGATTTGCCAGCATGCATCTGCTTGTGTACTTCAAAGGAGGCACCGATGCTCAGGCCTAGGGTGCTCTTCAAAGGCAATGGCGGTAACGGGCCCCAGGATCAATGGTTTTGGCAGGAATCTATGATATATTATGTGAATGTTCACTTTGCTTCCAGCGCAATGGTTGGGTGAATACTGCGGGTTTGTTGAACTGGATAGCGACAGAGCTCGGCCCCTAGACCAGGATCGCCAAGCCATGGCTCGGAAGATGACGCGGCATCGCCCAACGAAGGGGCTTGTTTAAGAAAGTTGCGGGGGAATCGCCAAGCCGGATCGCCAAGCCGGATCGCCACACGAGAGGCCTGGGTAATGTGATGTCACCACATGAAAGAGGTAAGTCAAGGGAATCTGATGACTCGGCATCACCCAGCGAGGGAGTGTGTTTCAGAAATCAAATGGACCGGGATCGCGAAACCGTGGCTCGGAATCGCCACATTGGAAAAGTGGGTACGGAATCGTCAAATCAGGTGGCGGGTTTGAGAAATTTGATGGCCCGGGATCGTGAAGCGGTGACTTGGAATCGCCATGTGAGAGTGGGTTCGGGGAATGTGACGACACGGAATTGCCAGGTTTAAAGAATCTGATGACCCGGGATCGTCAAGCAGTGACTCGGAATCGCCATTTGCAACAAAAAGGGTTTAGGGAATATCATGACATGGATGAAGTTAACGACACGGAATCACCCAGCGAGGGGGGGTTCCAGCAATCAGGTCAACCGATCGCGAAGCCGTGACTTGGAATCGCTACATCAGAACGATGGGTTCAGGGAATGTGAAGACGCGAAGTCCAGTGAGGGCAAGTTTAAGAAATCTGATTTTTGCGTCGCTTCAAAACTGTTTCAAAGTCCGGCGGATTACTTTCCGAATCCCCAAAGAAACAAGTTGACTCCGACCAAGTAGTCTCCGAATCCGTCCGCCGCGATGTTTGAATCCGACCGAGTAGTTTCCGAATCCGCCCGTCGCAGGTTCTGAATCGGACACAATAGTTTCTGAATCCGTGCAAATAGTTTTTTGAAATGCAGTTGACTTGTTTCAATCGGACCAAGCAGTTTCTGAATCCGTCCGAAGAGTTTCCGAAGTTGAGATTCTGAATCCGACCAAGTAGTTTCGGAATCCGTCCAAATATTTTGTGTGCGGCTTCTGAAACTGTATAGTTTTTGAATGTGCTATTCACCCGTCGCTTTGCTATATTGACAAGATCCTTCAGAGCAGTCGCTGCATCAGGTGGATGTGAACATTACGCAGGGGCAGCCAGCCGAAAGGATCGTTCTGTATCAGGCAGTCATCATGCTGTGGTGCAGATGTTAAACCTAGCCGATGCACTGATTCTGCGTTGACAGGGTCAGAACGTTAGCGAAGTGGCTGCCGAATTTGCCGCCAAGCACGTTCTGACACCAGTGCCTTGACGGAAGGGTTCGAAGAACAAGCAGGTGTCAGAACCGATTCCGCTTTCTTTGAACGACTGCTTTCGAAGGCCTTGGCACAGAAGCTGCATACGCTTCTCCGAGAGGCTGTAGTCTTTGCATGTCAGCATGTGCGTTCGAGAGCGTGCGTCGTTTAGGGTCTGCCATGAACTGCTCGTCTGATGTTCCAACGCTTCGATGAGTGAACTCAAACCAACAACTTCAGCTCGAGATGGAAGCGTAATCAATCCCTTGCGCTTCGTGACAGGTTGTGCTGAAGCAGGAGCTGCAAAATCAAGCGAGGTAGCTGCCGCAGTCAGCCGGCTTTTATGCTGTGGGGCTTCGATTTCGTGAGTGAGCTTGTCGGAAGTGACCAAATGCTTGTTGCCAGCAATCCAAGCTCCAGTCGGTCCCTTGCCTCCATCCCTCTGACTGTCTTCCAAAGTCATCTAAAGTCTATTGCTATTTACAAAGTTTTTGATTGAGACAAGAGCACCGCATGCTCAGAGGCTTGGAGCATGCGCAGTAGCTTGCGCTTGCAATGCGTGGAATAGGCGGTTCCAGCTGAACTGCCGGAGACAACATGCCTACCGAGTCATGTGGTAGGGCTTTTCATCTAGCCCTTTGCCAATGTATCTTTCGCCAGTGTTTAAACACTGATGTTCGGCACTGATCAGAAAGGCGGAGCCGAAGAACAGGATTTATCGCGGAGATTTTTTCGTTCTACATGTGCAGATACTGTCGGCCTGCTCTCCGATCATTGCCGGAATTGCAGATTTGGAGAAGCTAACACCGTCTTTCGCACTTACAAGGCATATGTCAAATTACATCGAAGTGGACCCGTCATCGCCAGTCACGCTCGTTTCGCATTGTTCTCCGACGAAACCTCCTTTGAGGGTACATCTGCGGGGCACGAGGCTTGATTGTTCGAGTGACAGGACGAGCGGCACCTGAGATCAAAAAGAGCAAAGAAGAGCAAAAAGCACAGAACAGATATCGGTCGAATCGGGTTTCAGTCTCGGTCCTTATGCGGGGTAGATGTGTCGGACTTGTCGTCGTCGGCTCAAGAAGTCTGGCAAATGGAGATCGGGGGATGCTGCATAGCAGGAGAAAGTGGAATACGTTCTGAACTCATACGAGTCGGTCAGTCCGCGCGTCCGCAGGACTTCTGTCATCATTATACATTTCCTGAAGCTGGCTCTACACCTTCTGGACCACTGCCATGGCGACCCAAGTCCTGGAGTGTGGAGGGGTTGTAACGTGAGACACTCAGGACCCCGGGTTTCAAACTCGCAAGCTTGGCCAGCGGAGTCTTCGATCAGCTTCTAGGTATCAATTTCTATGTGGTCGTGAGATTGCGCGCAAAGATCGCTTCGCGACACAGATGGCGAACTACTGCTACTTGGCCTCGTCCTCGGTGTTTTCTTACCAGATGCTTCAGATTTTGCTTGTCCCGCACTTCTGCCCTCCCACCTTTTAGCCCTCCCTCCGCTCCCTCTCCCCTCCCTCCCACTCGTCCTTCCACTCGCCCTGTCTTCCTCACGCGCTTTCTTTGTCCTTTGTCTTCCTTCATCTCTTTCTGCTCTGGCCGTGCAGGTGGTAAACACGTTGGATCGCTCAGCAATCGCCGTCGATGCGGCCTGGGACGTGGAAGGCGGTGAGTGGTTCGAAGACATCATTAAGTGAATCACACTGGCAGATCAACGTCTTTCCAACTCCTGGTTCTTGTTTCTTGGATTTGCTTCTGCTAGTAGTATCTGTTGGCTCGTCATGGCTTCGACAGCTTCAGCGGATCAGCCAGCTGCATGCTAGGCCGAGGGTTCCTGGGTTTGTTATAGAATGTTGCAGATGCCATGCTGGGAATGAGTATGGCCTCTAAAAACTATGATTGACGGGGTTTCATCGGCTAAAGCTGAAGGGCTTCGGACAGTTTCTCGGGCATTTCAGCCGATTTGTATTGGAGGGTGAACGTCCCAGCGACAAGTTCAAAAGGGCGCTGCTACTTCGTACAACGAGAGACGAGCAGTGCCGAGCAGTCGCTTCTCTGAGAGTTGTCCATAGACCTGGCTCACCGCCTCACGCATAGATGCTGAGCTTGGCATGCACAGATTGAATTCTGCTTCACGCAGCCGGATTCTCGGATGCTGGGACTTCGATTTTCGGGAAGTCTGGAGATGGATGATCTATCTCTATCTCCCTCTCTCTATCTGTATCTACATGTCTTTCTACATATGCAAGCATACATGCACAAAAGGGAAGAAGTAGATGCGTCTCTGTGAGTGTTTTTGTGCCTCTATGTGTGTTTGTGCGTGTGTGTGTGTGTGTGTGTCCGCGCCTACAACCAGTTCTACAACGCCGTTCCCTACATCATTGCCAGATTCTTCAGGTTCACCCGATGGCTCTTCCTGCCCTACATGCTCAGCGATTTTACTTGCTGCATCCATATCAGCCTTCACCCCGCTCCGGCGTGGTGTGTGTGTGTGTGACAACCCTGTATCCAAGGGCATTCACCTCACGCTCTGCAGTTCCGGACTAGGAATATACAGCAGGGGGGCAGCGAGCATTTCTGGATTGCGCTGCCTAACAAAGACCGTCCAGATTTGCTGTGATATGAAGAAGGGACGCCTTCTTCACGTGCACAATTGCTTGTGACATCCTGGTCTTCGCTGTATATGGTTCTTCACCGTATTGGTGCATATTTCTCGGCTTAGCCCGGCCTGGGGCTAAGCCGAGAACCCCGCACAGAACCTTGTCAGTGCGAGTGAAGCCATTCTTCAGTGCGAGCGTTTGCAATCGTTGGTCCCTGTCTTGTCCTTCGGTGCGTTGGGGTTCAGGCTGGCGTTGTGGTTTAGCCAGGCAGGTTGAGGTGTCAGCTACAGACTTTCCGCACTTCCTCTTTGCAGTTGCTGTCCATGAAGCTACATGTCCAAAGTCTCTGATGTGTGGTCGCTTGAGACCTGGGCATCAGGTGGTTCGTCGCATAAAGAAACCTCACTTGACATTCCGTGTGTGTGTGTGTGTGCGCGTGCGTGTGTGTCTGTGACTATGTGTGCATCAGCCCTCGAGTCAGTCCAGAGTCCAAGACCAGAGTAGATGACAACGAAAGATTCGCGAGACTGTGCTTCTTGGCCAAGAGAGTGCCCTTCCAAGTAGCTTGTTTTATGGGCATCACCGAATGTTTGGCGGAGCGCAGATGCCAGATGAAAAACCTGTGTCACCGGTGAAAACTTGTGAGAGAGAACCACCAAGTCACAGCCTTTCGGACTGAATTGACCGTACGGGGCGAGATGTGATCGAACACCGCGGGACACCTGCTTTAGGGGGTCGTTGCCAGGTCTTTACAAGTTGGCGGCTGAGCTGGAGGCTTCTCCACGCCAGCACATGTAGCATGTGCTGCAGGATTGGTGACTCTGCCAGACTTCCAGGTGACGATTCGAGGGTGTGCTCCGCGCTTAGAGCCCGGCAGCAAATCAAAAGCGCTATGTTTCACCCAGCAATCTGGCGATACAGTGCCCGTGGAGCTGACGAAGCAGTTCAGACAGGTGTACACTCACTATCATTTCGATCACTGTGGTGGTGACGTCCACCCCATGCCTGCTGCCCCGGGACTAGATTGCGTGAATGGCACTGGATCTTGAGCCTGCTTCCGTGTTGAAGTCAATGACAAGGTTCACAGGTGGACAGAAGGCCGGTCTGGAGAATGCAGCTTTTTCAGCCTTCAGAGTGTGGTTGGGCATGTGGAAGCGGAAGTGCAGGTGTTCCTCTCTGGGGCCAAAGAAGTGGAAGATGCTGGAGGGACCATTTGGGCAGGGCAGGCCAAGCTGGTGGCTGTGACGACCTCTTCGGAATCCGAAAGGGTCGACTTGCCCAGGGTGATGCCGAGCAGATCCAGAAGCAATGCAGCTTGAAAGAGGCAACGGCTTGCTTTCAACAAGCCCCAGAGATAACACACCGAGCACGACTGCTTGTGCAGGTCGTGGCCATGCGCGATGGTGATGTCAAGCCCTTACAGAACCAGCCTAGCCAGAGCACTTCTCGAGAGGCCGGCTGGACTCTAGGCATATGCCTTGGCTCCTGAGACCTCATGAGTCAAGTGGCAACTCCAGATATAAGATTGCGTGACTATTGTGGTGCTGTCTTCTTCAGCGGCACAGTGATTCTCAAGTGAGCTAGAGGTCATTCCTTGCGGTGACTTGGTGCTGCACATTCTCCGCACGCCTGGACACACACCTGGTGCCTGGGTGGCGACAGCCTTCTTTGCCTTCAGAGACATGCCTACTAAGTGGTCTGCTGTTTCGCTGCAATCATTGAGCTGATCCGTTTGCAGTGTGGAGCGTCATGGCGAGGTTCAATTTGCGTCTTTGCGGCCCCTCGTGGCCTGTCACCACGGTCGACGTGCATCGCTTGGAAGAAATTCGAGCACTGCCTTCTGGGTCCTCGGTTCGCTCTGCGCCGACGATCGTTACTCTGAGCCTCTGAGGATTGGCAGCACCGGATTGAAAGAAGCACGCACGAAGGCCGAGGTCGCTGTTGCCATTCCGAAGGATGTAAGGATGGTGCATGTCTGCTTGGAAATATCCGACATTTGCAAGCTGGGGAGGCAGGCCTCCTTATCACAGGGCATTGGCCTCGAATCAACCCGCCAAGCTGAGTTGCATTGTCAAGTTTCCTCCAGGGACACGCTCTTCGTTGGTAGTTGCGGACGGACGGATTTGCCGGGACTGCTACTTGCATCTTGTGGTTGGGGTTTTCCAGAGCGAGTGCATGCTTGATAAATCATTATTCTGCTGCCTGGTGACAGGATCCGATCCGCGAGAGATGATGAGTTCCCTAGCCAGGTGCGCGGGCAAGGCTGACAACGCTGAGGCTTCCGCACTCGCGCGGCCTTGCTGAGGCTAAGCACCATGGATCCTGCTGTGGTGGTCTGTCCCGGCCCGCGCCCCCAAGCGGCGACCGGCAGCCGGTGGAGTCCGGCAGCCGGTTTTTGCTTGCGTGACTCTAGGCCACAACTATGCTGCGGAGCCCTTTACGACCATTGGAGCCGAACGGGTGAGCCTTGGAGTACTTTAACTTTTGACTAAGTTTCCAGAAATGGCAAAGCCAGGCCCAGAACGAGATGGTGATAATGGGCCTGTCGCATTTTCCAAGTCCGCTAGGCACTTACGAAGGTGGTGTCTCATGAGGGTTGGGCATGCGCTCGCCAGCAGCTGCCCTTGTGCAAAGCTTTGGAGATGTTGCCGAGCGGGCCTAGTGCTGGGCGTTCCATACTGCCATGGGCAACTTAGGCCTCCGGTGCCACCATGTGCAATGTGGCACCCTCAACGCATTCTCTCTGAGCCAAGAGGTGTCTCTGCCTCCGCAGTTTACGGCAGGTGTGGTGAAGGCGGTCAGATCTGCGGCCCCAAGCAGTTCCGGAAGGGGCGAAAGGTGCGAATCGTGAACCTCTCCTCAGAAGCTGGCCAGGCCGATTGCTTCGTAGGAGTAGCTTGGTGGGGGAGGAACTGCGTGTTGTGATGCATCTGCGTGATCGGAAGATCTCAGCTTCGCAGCTGGCAACAACCTGTTTGAAGTTGGAGCTTCAGGTATCCGGTGGGTTTGGAAGCAGGATTTGGGAAATTCTCGGAGCCAATCCAAGTCCTTCCAACAAATTGTTGTAGCTCCAAGGGACGTAGTGAAGAAGCTTGCATCACAGTTGAGCTCTGTCAGCAATCGCATATGCACCCGTTTCGACATGACCACTCGCGCCCCCGATGAGTTTGCAGAGGCATTGAATGGTCAAGACTGTGTGGTCGAAAGCTACGCCCCTTGGTTATGTATGCTTCAGAACATTCAATCAGCAGATGGTCGTTCTGGACCCGGTTGCGGAGCAGCGTCTAAGTTTCCATCGCTTTTGATTTTGACAGCACCCTTGTGTAGTTCGTCAAAACCAGATAGAGCAACAGAACCCCTGTGGCCAGATGGATGGAAAAGATCGCTATGCCGTGAGGCTTACCTTGCAAAAACTGCACTGTTTGACAGGCGAGTCAAAATGGCAATTGTTGAAGTGATGCGGATTTTGTAAACCCTCGTCGACGTCCTGTTCAGGCTTTTTGGGCAATCCGGCATCAAAGTGCTCAAGCCGGACCGAGTGTGTAGCTCTCGTGGAGCGATCCGGTCCCCACCATCCCATCCTTAGGATCGGTATTGCTCTTCCTTCGGAAGCCGCGGCATTGAAGCTCTTGTGAGGACAATTTGGAGAAGCCGGAGATGGGCGGACCATCATCAGAAGCAGCGTCATAAACAGTGCAAGAAGAGTGTCATCTGCCAGAGTTCAACTTTCTGGATGTGATTGCAAAGGGGCCTGGAAGCATTCCGGTTTGGGCCAATGTTGCTGCAGGCTACAAAGTCACTTATTATTGGACAATGTTGTTGACAAATCATATCGTCGCGGAAGCGATCGTGGGCTTTCCAGGTTTGCAGCGGCAAGACGTCGGCTCAAGATCTTATGCAGATTCGGCCAAGCTGGCGACGTTTCAGAAGCGGCGATTTTCGAAATACAAATCCTGGAGCCACTCGAACAGCAAACACAACCGTCAGAATCCTCTGCGGGCAGCATGCACCTGGGCACAACGTCTGTGCACCCTTCATTCTAGCACTGCGGGTCCATCTTCAGATTTTGCCATCGTGTACCGCAAGCACAAGGGTGCTGACAAAAAACAATTGCAAAGAGGCGCCGCTCCCGGCGCTGCAGCCAGTGAAGGCTCAGTGCGCGTATCTTCAGCGTGGGAAGGATTGGGATCGGCCTGGTAGGAAAGGCTGTTCCCTTCCAACGGATTGTTCCAAGCTGGTTATGCCCCAGTGCGTGTAGTGCAGCACGACATCCGCGCAATCACATGGCGACTGATGCACGGTGCGACAATCGCCAAGCATTGTGGGTGTGGAGTTTTGTTCGCTTGGTCGGGGGAAGTCTGGTGTATGCAGGCTGAAGTGAGCGGCATTTTCAGGGCGTCTGCGCAGCATCTTGGACTGGCTCTCAAACATCAGACATGGTGCCTTCAGATACTTGTCGGGTCCTGGTTCGCGACTCTGTCTAATGCTTCCAGCAGGTCCTGGCATAATGGTATTACTTACGCATCCCGCGGCCACGTGGGTGTGGGGTTTCGCAGCCACTCACTCCTTTTACGGTTCAGGGTTTTGCACCCACTGCTTTTAGGGTTTGGGGTTTCGCTAGGGTATGAGGATTTCGTAGCCACTCGCTCCTTTTAGGGTTTGGGGTTTCGCACCCACCCACTCCTTTTAGGGTTTGGGGTTTCCGCGCACTCGCATGCACCCACTCCTTTTAGGGTCTCAGAATTTCGTAGCCACTCACCCGTCTTGGCGTTCAGGGCTTCGCACCCACCTAGTCCTTTAAGGGTTCAGGGTTTTGCACCCACCTACTCCCTTGAGTGTTTAGGGTTTCGCACACACTTTTTTTTAGGGTATGAGGGTTTCGTAGCCACTCACTCCTTTTAGGGTTCAGGGTTTCGCACCCACCCACTCCTTTTCGGGTCTGAGGGTTTCGCGCCCACCCATGCACTCCTTTACGGTTGGGGGTTTCGCAGCCACTTTTAGCCTTCAGGGTTTGGCAGGGGTTTGGGGTTTCGCAGCCACCCACTTCCTTTAGAGTTCAGGGTTTCGCGGCCACGTGCGCGGCCATCACAAAAAACCTGACCTTTACCCCATACTGGTGCCATCCTATTTTTGAATGACCGCGCAGGCACACTTCGTTTTAGGAGGTTGTGTGCCATCAGAGTTTCTTCGCATAGGTTGATCTCGCACATCTTTGAGCTAATTTAACAAAATACTTGTACCGCCGTGCGATTACGTGTCCTTCAGCCTGTCTTGCACTTCCTTCTGGGTATCTTTCGTAATCAAGCAGGGAGAGCCAAAGCGGCGGCGTGAATCCATGATCAACATACATCTGGTATGGTTCCAGCGTATTTCCAGTCGGGGTCGGGGGAAGGAAATGTGACATGTCGCATGTCGCGTGGGGTGGGCAGTTCTTGTACGGTGACCGATCGGACACGGCCTCTCGAGGCTTGACATCCAGAGCGAGGATGGTCAACGCTGTTGCCTTCTGCCGACGCTGTGTCGGGGAATGTTGGGGATCTTGCCGCACGTGGCCCACGACATGATATGCAGTCGACCAAGCCGGGCAGATGCGTTGGCGTTGGCTCCACGACTGGTTTCAGCCCGACCGATCCACACCCCTGACTTGCGGTTCTTTCACACACTGCGGCAGACGAGCAGGAAGGAAAGTGCCAGCGCGGATGCAGAGTAGACGCTAGCCTAGCCTTCCTGTATCGCGACAACTTGAGACATGTCGAGTTGAGTAGGCCCCTCCTCTATCTGCCATGCGCACGCGAACTGGGACAGACCCTGTAGGACGGCGAAGACAATTAGGCCGATCACCAGGTTTGCTTTGCGGTTCTTTCGACAGCCACAGCACGAGATCAGGAACGGAACGACCCACATGAGTGCAGAGTAGCCTCCTCATGTTTCGTGCCAGATTGATTCGTATCTTGCGGAATCATGTACTTAAAGAACGCAGGGTTCTCCAAACCGTGTTAACATCACTCGCAAAGCTTCTCTTTGATTTGGGTCTGCCAATTTGCTTTCGTGTCGTTCAATGGCTCAAGCATAGCTCTTCAAGACACCATTTCGAGGGGTTTTATTCAAAGACGCAAGCTATTCACGTAACATACGTGACTCTGTGCAGGTTATGCAAGACAGTAATGTCCGAGAATGCTGGAGCATTGCAGAGCGTGAGAAACTGCAGACATGCCAAGTTTGGAGTTATTAATCATTCACTGGCAGCAGCACCAAATTGGCTGAACCTTTGCAACCTCCGGGCGGCAGCTCTCATGGCATCAGCTCAGTTTGTAACTTCTTCTCAGACTAGATGCCACACTGATCCGTCGTCTCAATGAGCCACCCGTGCCGCAATGGGTGCCATGACCTTCCGGGTATGTCCTCAGCGCAACCAGGCAACAGACGCGTGGAAGCGCCATGAGCTGGTAAACTGATTGAGCAGGCCAGCCGGGCTCGTGTGCGCTCGACACCGGACGTGTTGCCACCCCCCGGCGCCACGTTGGGCGAGGCAGTCTCTAAGTGAAGGTGATCTAAGTGTGTGTCTACAAGGTGCAGCTTCTGCTTCCCTGCACCTGTGGAATCAACAGGTGTTGCTTCAGGAGCAGCTGGAAGAGGAGCGTTGGCACCTCGATGCACGCCCTGAAAAGCGGTTTTGCAACGAGGCTCCGATCTCTGCCAAAGTTTCCACTTGGCCATCGCTGGATTCGGAAGCCTCGACGGAGAGGCGTGACTCGGGCTGTGAAGCCACAGTCAGAATTCTTGGACACAAGGTCCGAAAGCTCGAGTGACAGATCACGGCGGCACAAGCAACAGAAGGTTTGGAAGTGTGTGTAATGCAGCTTCAGCATGCTTCCACCGCAGTTCGAATGTATGCAACTGCCGCAGGCGGAGCTGCTCTCACCGCCTCCTTCCGGCTGCGTGCCGAAGGTGCGGCCAGTCTGACATCCTTAGATGCCATGGCTGTCTCTCTCTCTCTCTGCCAGGGCAGGCAGGCTCGATGTGATGGAGTTGAAGCTCCAGAGGACGCTTTGGGTGCTTTGAGTTTGCAAGATGTTGCCAGACTGCAGCGAGTCATCTTGCCAGGACATGGATGCCTGGCATCGTGCCACGTCTTTCTCGGAAGCTGTGAACTGTCTGGCCACGGATGGTGCCAACGGAGCTTCGGCCCCTTGCCTGTCCAGCCAAGCTTTGTTATGCACCTGGCCCGATCACGGTCTGCGCATGAGAGCAAATTGCAAGTTGACGAACTACGGGTAGTGCAGAAGGCTGTGGGCATTTGCAAACTAGTAACCGACTGGCGTTCTGATTCGAACTGCAGGAAGAAACGCAAAGTACGCCACTGTGCTCCGGAGGTCACAAAGCTGGCCTTGGTCGGAGTGGCGCTGACCGACGAGGATGCACGATGCGCATTCTGATGCTGTCCGAAGATCTCTAAGGTACTGCCAGCCCCACTTCCACAGTATGCTGGTTGAGAAGTGCAAGCGGAGAATACGTCGTTCCCGCGCATGACTTGACAGCGAAGCTGAAGAGACTTGCCCCTTCCTACAGAGATAAGCGCGTCTACGCAGCGACTACCCGCGCTCATCAGCTGACTATACTCACAATCAAAGCTTCTCCCTTTGCCTCGCAGGGTCGCTCTTGTCTTGCCAACCCCCGGAGATTTCCTGCCTCCTCACCAACCAGCGCAGCCAAAGCAAGCGCAAACGGTTTCATGGTTCCCTGGCCCAAATCCATGGCCAGACTGCGTCCCCGAAATCCTTCGTAGCCGTTGCTAACAACCCGCACACCATGGCTTCAACTCGGGACGAGCATCGACGTGCCCTTTCGTGGTGTCTTCGCAAATAGCGGATCCAAGCGTGCTTCAACACAGTTGTCGCCTGGTCGACGGACCGGAATGGTCAAGTCTCGTTTGAAGACCCACTCCTCGGGAGTGTCGGTGGCGCACCGCCGCAAGCACGCATGCCACTTCCGCTGTTCGACACACACTCGGGCACCTACTCGGGCCATCCGTCCCATCTGTGAAGACATCTTGCCCTGGAGCATGTTCTCTGCCCTGTTGCAAGCAGTTTGGCAGTTGCCTGCGCTTGAGCAGCATTCCTGAAGAGAGTACTTACGATCGAGCAGTGTAACACCATGCCGGATGCTGGTTTGTTGGTTTCATCATTTGCCTCATTCTGGCCATGTCCGTCTAGAGTTGCCTACTACTGGCGAGGATAATCATGCGGGAGCATTGCCATCAAGGATCATCACTGATCCGTCAAGCGTAAGTGCAACAAATCGAAGACATCGGACTCATCGGATATTGCAGCCGGTTTTGACCAAGTGTTCCGAAGAAACCAAGAAACCCGTGCCTTCACCACATTCAAGAAACCTGCACATTCAGAAGCATGGGCACCTTCGGCCTCCATTGGCTGCATGTAAACTCATGTGCTTGAGAGGACAGCGCCAGAAGCTTTACAGATTCCTAGATGCGGGACATATGCTGCTGTGCTTGCGTACATGCTTGTGGAACTTGTAAGAGCAAGGCTCCAAACCCGTCGCATTTGACACATATCTGGACGCTTGGGAGCGAAACTGTCTGCCACAAACCCGACCGATATTGTTGAAAGTTACCACGGTCTGATGGACCTCTTGCAAACTCGCTACAGGCAAACATCGCAATACGCGACCTTCTGCCGCTCTGTTCCCACAAATGGTATCACCTGCTTGGAGTGCGTTGAGTATGTGTGTTATCGGCGCAAGCACAGTCTGTCGGAGTGATCACGATCGCAGAAGGAACTTAACACTGAACCTCTGGTGATGCAATTCTGCTTGACGCGCGGGGAGGAAGCTTCCAGACTTGCAGATCATCTTCACAGCAATCCCAACGCCGCGGTCTCATCGTCACGCCCGAAGAGTTGCTGCAATGGTGTCTGTGTTGCCTGTTTCGCGTCGTGATCTGTGGGCTCTCGGCCCATGTTCGCATCTGCATAGTGCAGAGCCAACTCTGCAGTTCTCGGTTACATGACAATTGGAGTTGAATCTCGTGTGAGGTGTTACGCCTCGCCCTGGTAGAATGCACAGCCCCCAGCCGTCTTACTCTTGTGTTGATTACCTCGGCCAGCTCCGATGCGGTGATCTCCTTGCAGGCAACCTTGGTGACCAGGCCGCCGAGCACTTAGCCGAGGCTCCGCAAGCACTTCGTCCGTTCACAAGAGTTCTCGCTTGGATACCGGAAGGCCTTAGCCGCCAACGATGTTTTGACATCTCTCTCCTTGGAGGGCAACCGGGCCACTGCCCCAGCAGCTTCAGGTACGTAGCCTTGATTTAATCAAGCAGTCCGGCTTGCGCCGGGCCCGATAGTAATGCGAGTGCCTGTAGACCATCTTCTGTCTCGACTTTCTTCTGGCACGCCCTTTTCCGGAAACAAGTTGTTCGCATCACTCATCGATGCTTGCACTTGTTATTTGTCATTCCAGCATGTGGAGCTTACTTGCCCCCATAGACAAAAAGCAGCATGGTCAGCATGAGCCTTCCTTGTCGAAGAGTTTCGCTGCACAAGGTAGGGGATCGGGGTGCCGGTCGGCTGGCGAATGCTCTGCACAGGAACGAGGCGGTCTCTGGTGTCTGCACGATAGGAGTAGGAGGGTCAATGCAGGTTGTGGGTTGGAGCATGCTCTGTGTCGTACATAGACATTGATGCAGTTGGGTCGTGCTCCCTTGGGCTTGTTGCAGGCTTTGACCTCTCTGAGCTTGGGCAGGCCCAGAGTTTGAGTGTGCTGCCTGCTGAGTATGTCAGCTTCGTTCGTCCTCGTGTCGCTAAGTCTTGATCAGCAGCACTTCAGCACGGCACAGGTCATAATGTTTCAACTTGAGGTTTGCGGCTACCCTCCCAAGCCGAGGTGATCTCTTCTTTAATTATGTTACTGTGCCGACTGCAGGAACTGTGTGGGAAACCAGGGTGTCAAACAATTGCTCGACGCCTTGGAGAGCAACTACACACTGCGAATTCTGGACCCTTGCACTTTGCTGTCGCTGAACGGCTGAACGACCAGCTCTGTTCTGCTTGGAGCTTCAAGGACCTGACCAGCAACAGCGTCTCACGGCCTGGCTGGTCCATTGCAGGCACGGCATTCAGGATCGAGCTTGTCCTTTTCTTGAACTCGCCTGGCAGGTGACGGGCGAACGGCTAACCAGAAGCGCCTGCAGGCCTTGCCATGATGCGTCGCGCCTTGTGAGGTTTGTGGGTCTGCAGATGTTTACAACATCGTGCATTGTGGCTCACTGGCAAAGGCACGATGGAAGTACGTGCCGGTACAAGAACTTCACGCTTGCGTGAGCATGAGCTTCACTTATAACTGTACCTCGTCACTCCAGTTTGCTATGCACTCGATTTAGAAGGTGGGCCCTAAAGTAGCCGTTGCCGTTGCCTTCAGAGTGAGCTCTGGCAGCGACCGCGCCGTGGCCATGGAGCCATGCGAAGGCTCTCTGCACAGCGGGCAGCCGCCCAAGCCACGGCCACGGACGCCGCGCTGGGAAGCGCCAAACCAGGAGCCACGGCGCGAGAGTCGAGCCCAAGAGTCTGGAGTGTGCTTCGCCCGCCCGGGTGCGCATTGCCGCTCCTCAGAACTCGAATCTAGAATCTAGAACATCCCAAAACATCCCTGGAGTGTTCCCATGGGCGGGGCATGGCGGGGCCCTGGCACGTCGGTCGGACTTAGCACCTCAACTTATGTGTGGCTCAGGATGGAAGCACCATAACCCCTCGAGCAGTGAAGAATCCGAACTCATGACATGCCTTTTTCCTTCATCAGGGCTTTGGTGAGTGTACGGCTCCGAGGGAGATTGGTAAGTGCCCATAGTCTACGAGCTATGATTTTTCCGCACCAGGTCCCCCCTTGGCTAGGGTCATGTTTCGCATCAGGTGGGGCTTGGCTTGGGGTGCGGCTTGGCTGGGCTCGCCCCTTCTGCTGTTGCTGGAGGCGATTGGCACAGCTTGGCCTCCGCAAGCCTTGCATGCCGAACCCGTGAACTGCGGGTGCTGATGTCATCAAGAGAGCTGCGTTCAATATTCGTACGACTTTCTAAACCTGTCGCGCGAGCATCATGTTTGCAAGTGGCGGCTTTTTTGGAGTCTCCCAAACCCACTATTTTGAAATCTTGTGCACTTTGCATTAATGCTTCGCTGCTCTTTGTCTGTCGAAGCCGAGCAAGCCGTCCCAGGTGTGTCGTGTTTGCAAAAAGGGCTGCAGCTCTGCGTTAGGCCAATCCTAGCAAGCTTTCCCTTAAAGAGCCACCATGAAGAGGAACCGCTTTCAACACCGTCTTGATACGGGCAATTAAAGCTAGGCTTCTCCGGGCCTTGGGTAAAGAGTTTGGAAGTCAATTAAGGATCTTCTGGGGTTGAGGCCGTAAATCAGAGGGTGCATGTTCATGTCGGGCCACATCCTAAACCATCTGAAATCTAAGACGAAGGACGCTGAAACCTCACGAAACCGAGCAGAAACGCGATCAGAGATTGTGGATCGCGGAAAGAACAATACTTTACTGCAATTGACGGTACCCATCTTTGTGCTTGGCGGGGAAGAAGGCAATTGCAATCGAAACTGCAGCGAACGATTTTTCTGGCGGTTGCAGCAAACCGGAAGACAAAAGCTGCTGGGCTGTCTGGGCCCAGGTTTTCAAACGATTTGCCGCTTGCGCCCTGGCATTTGCAGTCATGTTTAGAGCTGCATGCGAACAGGTCAGACTTCGCCCCGTGTGCATTATACAATGCCATGAAATCTTTAATCTCGTGCAACACATGAATTTCAGGGCTTTTCCTCGAATGCAGATTTTAAGCCTCGCGCACAAAAGGGAATATAATACTTTACCCTGCGTTGCTGGATGACCGACTTGCGAAAATTCACGCAGCTCTCCCGATCTCAAAAAGCTGGAAGAAAACAGATTTTCCATGAACCGCAGCAGACTTGAACATCTTGTTTTGGCGACAGGTTTGTCCAAATCCCGGATGTAATCCAAGCTCAGCGCCCCAATTCTGAACTCTGGCTCGTAACCAGGAAGCTTCAGCAGAGCTTTGGTGAGGCATCAAGATGCATGATGTTCATGTCATCCGACCATATTGGAAGATCGAGATCCTCACTAGATTTGAAGGTAGTGCTTGTACCTGAAATCGTCCCCAAGCCATCTACAATCCGCGTTGCCAACGAACTACCCTACATTGCGATCTTCTAGAGGGTGTACCGCATCATTCTAGTCATTCTGGTCTTGCAACTCCATCCCTAAGTTATCTCAGCGTTCACGCATAGACGGTTCCTCAAATGGGCTGGAGAGGTTTTGTCAGTGCTTCACCAGTCTTTACTGAGACCTGCGTAAGTCCCGTGTAGTCTTCCGTGGACTGCCCAGAGCTCCGGCCCACGACCCATTTGACAGATACCATCCCCACAGGAGGTGGAGGTCCAATCTTTTGCTTCATTTTCCTCGCCCGAAGCTAAGCGCCGGTGCTGAAATGTGCTGAACAACTTGCGAGCGCTACGCTGTGCTCGAGCCCAGGCTCTTGCTGCAGGCCGTGCAGATGGATTTGGAGAAACCAAGGCCCTTTGCCACAAGAAGCTGTGTCGTGAGACATGACAAAGTCTTAGTGCAATGACACGCGAGCCGTTGCAGGATTCGACCAGGATGCGAGACGTTTTGCAGCTTTGGGAGAAGGCTCTTACATTGCACAAGAAATGCTTCGGATCGGCAATGCGTCACATGCTGCGTGGCCGGGACATTGCGAAGCGCTTTTCTTTTCTTCCAGAAGAGGTGTGGGGGAAGCGCGCGCCCGTTCATGGCATGAGCCGGCCTCCGCGGGGCCTGGGGTCGGGAAATGGCTCCTTTCAAGAAGCTGGAGGGGGCGCGTCTTCTGGTGGGTATAGTGGCGCGGCTTAGCCTTGCACACGCGAAAAGGTGCGGCTCCGTTGCCGCCTTACACATGAAGGCCCAGCAACGACGACCAATCTGAAAAAAGAAAGCAGCGGCCAGGGGAGTTGCAAACGGTTGCCGTCGTGCCAGACCACCAACCAGTAAACGCTTCGATTTCCGTAGATGCTTGCGTTTCGTCATTTTGCTGGGTGTGTAGCCTCCGATCCTTGACCTCCACCCTGTGGCTCGAGGAGACGCGGGCGCTGGTCGATGAAGTTGTCGTGCCCGACTTTCTAAGTTGCAGCTTCGACAAGGGGTGGGAGGCACACGACTCTGCCGCTGTTGGTAGCTGGTAGCTTGTTCTTGGCGTCGAGCAAATCGCCCGCCGATGTGACATGTCGAATTCGCGAGGCGGTTCGTCTTGAGATGCTCACAGCTCTTCACCATGCGCCCCATTCTCAGCATGGCAGTGGACATACTGGCACGGTTGCACCCACCAACTCCGCACCAACATGCTTGATCTGCTTTGTTTATCTTTGTTTGACGTACTTCCCCTTGCTTCCCCAATGAGGCTTGAGTCTAGGCTGGATCACACTGTACATGCTTCGAGGGCGGTGGGAGGGGAACATACGAAACACATACTCATGCAAATCAGGGGTACAAAGTTGAACCAATGTTGAAGTGTTTTCTGTTAATGAGACATCCAGTGCTCGGTCCGGCGAGTGAGGTTAGGATTTAGGGCTTATGCTGGAACCTCTGTTGGCCGCAACCTTGAGCGGCAAACGGTTCAAAAGCCTTTCGTCGCCTGCGATCAGCCTGGCAATCCAGAATCCAGGAGTTGGAATGAGCCTCCACGAAAGACTTGAAAGTTCTGCTCAAAGAGCGTTGGACTCCGCACGATATGCATGCCATAGTCTGTGGCAGCCGCACAGGTTGTGTTGTCCGTTCCGCATCTGTTGCACCTTTGCAGGCCGCAGGGTCTTCCGAGATTTCCTGAATCACTTGCTGAACTTCCGAAGTATCCGTGGCTGGAGAAGCTGTTCTCTTTGGCAAAGACCATCCAGGAGGATCATTGTTTTTCGCTCTAGCAGTTTCAACATATGTTGCAGATTTCTGGCAGTCGGAAAGAAAAGAGGACTGGAAAATTGCATTTGCCCCTACCAGGAGACCGTGGTACACAGGCATGAGGACAGACCTTGGAAGCAATTCAGTTGCGACTCGCAGAAACTCAGGGCTTGGCTGTCCGAACGTGCCAGGGTCAGTGGCATCTTGCCGGGGACTTTCACGGATTGAAAGCGCTAGCTCTGCAGCCAAAACATCTGCAGAGACTCAGCTGCAATGGCTTTCGGGATCTCTTGCAGGCCATGTTGTGGCTACCACTTTGAATTGTCAGTCGTTGCTGTGCAAGCTCATGTAGACTCTCCGCAATGCTGGTATGACACGTGCTGCAGGCCTGAGACGAAGTCGTGCTTCTTCGGCTACATCAACATGTTCTACATCGTCGCGTGGTGGTACGCCCTGAGCATGGATTTTAATGAGGCCGAACTGCCAACAGTTTCGTGATCTTCGAGTCCCCATGACTCTACTCGTATGAGTGCGCCATGTGCAGAGGCGACCTTGTACCTGCAACTGATCTCACAACTCCTCAAGAAAGGGCAGCTGGATTGGACTGAGCATTCTGGCTGGCCCATCACCTCATGGAGTGTCTACCTGACTCTTTGCTGCGACTAGGCCTGCTTTGTGCTTGCTCTGCCTATGAGCGACAGCTGCAAGGAACATCCAACGCATGCATACGGGGATGCCTTTCTCGCCTCTTCCCGAAGACCCGAGCGGTGCTTAGCAGATTTTGTGACATCAAGCAAGTTAGTCAAGTGCAGCTGCCTCCGTCGCGATTTCATGTGAGGACTCCTGTTCATCCACTATCACACTTGGTACCGGCAGTTTGGCCGCTGCCAGGATCCCGACATTACATATCCAAGCAACCACTCCAACCGCAAAGCGTCTCTGCTCAAATCAACCTGTTGCTGAGACTTGCATTGCTGATTCGACGCGCTGTTGTCGTGCTGGTCGATCGTGCCAGACTGTTATGAGGTATCAGCGTATTTTACATTGCAATGCATGTCGCTTGTTTGCGATGTCCAAGCTCGGGCAAGCGAAGTCAGGGATCATGTGTCTTGATGCCCGCATGGCCACAAAAATCGCCGTTGCCGGCAAGGTCGTCCCTTTCAATGACTTCTTGACATTTCTAGATGAATGGTGGCAGACGGCTGGTGGAGCAGATGCATCTTCAGTGAAGATCTATCCGCACTCTGATGCACTGGTACAAGAGTGTTTGTCGTGTTGCTGTTTTGCAACGAAGCTTCGTTGTCTTGGTTATGAGGCAGCACCCCTGTGCTACTGTGCAGCTTTTCGCAGTCATGGGCTGTGAGGAACTACATGGGCTTTCCTCGATGCTGTCCTGGTGTTGGTCAGGCATGCTCCCAGAAGGTGCCCCGAAGATCGCATACAGGAAGGTGCTTCGCCGCTTCGGAACTCCATCGATGTCTGTCACAGGACTTAGAAGCCGCGGTGCCGATGCAGAAAGACTGGAGGATACCTTACTGCTGTCAAGACGAGCACCTCTACAGCTTGATAGGCAAGGATCTCTTTGCAGCCTTGCCGGTGTACCCAATTGCTGTAATCTGTCTCCGAATGAGACCGCAAGTGAGGGGCCGTGTGTCCAAAAGGCGTTCCGCGACTTCATGATCACAGCCAGGGCCAATGGGAAGGTGCGTACCGCAACCACCGCAATGACCACTGGCAGCCCGATTGCATCAAGCACTGCCCCATTCAGGACGACATTTGGTTAGTCGATGTGCCGACTTGACCTGCCTTATCGTGCTTGGTGAGGTCGGATGTTAAGAAGGAATTTGCTGCTAAGTACTACGACTGGATGGACTCCCATGTGGATCTTGTTCTTTGTGGCCATCCGATCTTCTGGTGCACCCTTTTCGAGGATATTTGCGTTGTAGAAACAGGTTCAACGTTTTGTCTGACCGCCTTCTGCTGCTTTTCATTTGGACAAGGTCGAGCCAGTTTTTCCTGGCATCGTGCACGCTTGTACTCGTACCAAACGACAGCATGCCGTATGATTGAAACATCCAAGCCTGAGGCTGGAGGAGCCAGGCATTTTCGAAACAGTTGTGATAGCATCGTCTCCAACCGAATAAGTCAGAGGACTTGCTGCGTGCCAACCACAAGAAGTCAATGATCGCTGTGCCTTGGATGCAAAAGCTAGCGATGCTTGTCGTTGGAATAGTGTGTGGCTTGCTTTTCAGTGCCGAGAGTTCGTTCGCAAAACCATCAACAGAAACCCTTTCGGCAGAAAGCAGTGCCCTGTGTAGAACTTCAGGATTCTTGACTCTTTGCCAACAAATCAGGTTTACGACCAACCGCCTTTCTTCTTGGTGCCCGAAGATGGCGAGGATGATTTTGCGGACCGCTTGCACGCTCTTGCGGACCCGGAATTCCGAAACGCCGTCGTGGTAGGCCAGTTATGGCTGAAAGTGAACAGAAGGCATAAACAATCCGGCCTGTATTGACAAGCTGCAACACACACTCTGTTTCAGATCGATCTAGCAGCATCTGGCAGCCATGTCTGGGTCTGACAAACGCATCTCTTCTGAGAGGCTTTGCTCCTTTCTTCACGCGCCAGTTTGAATGGTTATTTGGTCGTGTCTTGTTTGAAGAGAAGGCTACAAGCATGATGGCAAGCATGGTCTGTTGTAATATGCTCGTTTCCTTTCTGGATGTTGCGACAAGCTTGAGCATTCCGGCATGCTCGCGCAGTCTGGCTCGGCTTTTCGTATTGGGCGCAGAAGCTAAGGCAAGATCCCTCACAGTCGCCCAATAGCTTTGGTCGTGAAAGATGTTTGGCAGCCACTTCAACCAGATTCCGTGCTGTTTTCCACTTCTATTGATGCAGAAGCGATAGGCAGGATGTGGGCTCCGTTCGCTGATTCAGCGGCTCGAGAGTCTTCATAGTGTGATTTTGTAGACTTTCTGTTTGGATCTTTTGCAGGGATTTTCTTTCGCTACGCGGAGGAGAATGTTATCATGGACTGGGTCCTAAACAATGCAGTGCACTGAATGCATCTCGAAGTTCCTACGACGATGCACAAACGAGGATCCAAGTGGCTTGCAGCTGAGATTCCTGGAGTGGGGCTTGGATGCGGCCCGGCACAGATTTTGATTTCTTTGGCATGTCTTGTGTAGTCTGGAGCAGCCTGGCAACACACACTGGCAGCAGCCAAGACCTTTCATCGTAAAAGGTGTCATTGAAGACTGTGCCAGGCCGCTGCCAGGAATGCGGGACGCACTGGTCTGAGCTACGAGACTCCAAAATCGGAGCTTGCACAGCTTCGTTGCAACTTGGCCAAAGAAAGCTTGCGGTATTTCGCAGCGCACTAGTTGATACGGTGAAGTTAGGTGTCGTCGTTACGCCGTATGACTTCGCACACTTCAAGCTGCCGGAGTTCAAGGCCATGGGGATGCCGCAGCCTCGATGTGCAGAACTTCACGCACTCTGCACTGCTCTGCACTGCTCTGCCCTCTTTGGACCGTGCTGGGCTCCTCCGAACTCTTCTTGAGGCCGATGTTCATGCATTCGCAACTCTGGAAATGGACCACCCGTTGGTCGCAACTGATTGCGCGCCCCGCCGGCCGCAATGCCTCCCAATTTGCAGACAGTCGCTGGCACCCTCCAAGCGAATGCTACACCGAACCGCAGACACAGGACAAGGGGTTGCAAATTCCAGGTGCCTCAGTCTTTCCCAAGCCTGTGACGCAGGTGCAGATAAACACGGTCGGTGGCAAAACGCGTATGACATCCGGACTTACTCGTAAGATGAGATACCCTGTTCCGCAGTTCCGCATCCAAGTCCTGCAAAGTCCAACGACCCAAATTGGAGAATACTTTTCGTCCGGCCACTCATACAGTGTCTCACGTGCATTTGCAGTACTCCTTCCCCGAATTGATCAGCCTCCTGTCGAAAATAGGGGGCAAGTCTGAATTCGAGCGCATTTTGGTGTGCTGTTGTTTGTTTACACTGGCTCTGGAAAGTAGCACAGGTCCCAGAGTGTGTGGCAGTGAGTGAACAGACGGAAACGGATCTGCAACGAAGGAAAGCAGGAGCAAGCCTCTAGACGAGCTGAGAAGTTTTCCCGTCCGCCCAACTGGTGGAGGAGCTGCAAATGCCAACTCTACCGGAGTCGTTCTACAGAGACCCTTGGGGTTTCCTCCCCGACGAGGGCCCATGCCGTGGCCCTACACTTGCAGCGCGTATCCTGTGACTCAGTGTTTCCGAAAGAGCTGCAGGTTCCAAGGCTTTGTCGCAGTGGGAAGATCACACAGGTTCGCAGCACTCGCTTTCTGTCTGCATTTCTTCGTGGAATCCCCGGCAGGACCCTTCGGACGCTCGCCGTTTCAGCTGTTCACCATCGACCGCAGGGATTTACAACCATTAGACGGCACACTTTTCTGGTCCCAGTGGAGCGAGATGGCCCTGCTGCCCTACACCATCTACTTTGAGCCTCAGCGAAGGGCTAGGGAGACATTGACATCACTCAAAAACAAGCCTCTAGATAGTGCCAGTCCTGCTACATCAGTCCAGCCTGTTGGTTGTCGCGAATGTGGGACCCAGCAGCACGCTCAAGCGACGCAAGCTTAGGATTCGGCAGCGCATCTGATCGCACTGCTTCGGCACTTGCCGCTGGAGGAGAACGCGTCACGTGCTTCATCTACAGCAGAAGGATCAAATCTTCGCCGCAAGGCGTTGATGGACCTCTCGCGGGCGACGCGACATTGGCACCGTCGAGAAGCATATCAGGCGAAGGACGCTTTGAAGCAAGTCACAGCCGTCTGCCTCGATGTGCCAGGTGATCGAGTTTTGGCGTGGACTGACTGTCGCCCTTCTTGGGGGTGATGCTGGAACCTTCAAAGGAGTAATGCCCGGACAGTGATGAGCGGTTGCCACAAAAAAGCATGCCGTGTTCCAGGTTACTGGAGCTTCCAAAGCTGCTGACGCAACATTCGAGACACGTGGAGCGGGACACACAGAGATCAAGCCGACCTTGTGTGACTGGTGGCTCAAATAGATCATCTTTAACGACGTCGATAGCATCTGGTGAGTGCAGGCAGCAGCATGTTCAGAGAGTGGTCTAGGCAGCCAAGAACAGCAGGACTCGGCTTTGCACTAGCAGCGAATATCCAGTCTGTCAAAATAAGCACCGCATACGTAGTCTGAAGTGTTGATAGTGTTGGCCTTATCATGACATGGGGGCAAGAAGATCCGTGGGAGCACGGCTCAGACCCTTGGCAGAAGCCCCAGCCAGCGTTGCAGGACACTGCATGGAATGCTGAAGCCGACGGAAGTAATGGATACCAGTCCCAGTCGGGCCAGAGCCAGAGCTGGGGCGCTTCGGACACCTACCCGGCGAAGACACAGGATGAAAGTGGGAACGGCGGATGGGGGTACAATGCCCAACAAGCACAACAGGACGAAGAAAATGATGGTAAGTCCTGGGGCGATTGGGGCAAGCAGAAGGAGCCAGCAGACGCCTGGTCTTCGTGGACTGGAGGATCGTCCAATGTTTGGCAAACAAACCAGCAGCCTGCCGAGACTGCCGAGGATGCAAACAAGAGGCGCCATGAGACCTATCGGAAAGAGTACTATGATTGCCAAAGCTGGTACAAGGAGTCCGGAATCCTGCCCGACACCCACAACAGTTCGTGCAAATTCTTAGACGAATCAGGCCACAGAGGAGAACACTTCGAGCTGTACAACTCAGTGGAAGTTCAAGTCAGCGGTGAGGGGTCAGAGTCCCTTCCCAAGCATCTAGACACTTTTGAGGATTTGTTTTCCAGGTTTGACAACGTCCCGAAGCAGCTGGAGGAGAATCTGAAGCTACTCAAGTTTCAGTACCCTACGCCTGTCCAAAAATATGCCGTCATCGCGGGACTAGCTGGACGGGATGTTATGTGCTGTGCTCAGACAGGCAGCGGGAAGACAGCAGCATATTTGATCCCCATGCTAGCAAGCATGATGAAGAACCACAGAGCAACTGGTGGTCTGAAAGAGCCCTTCGAGGGTCCTTGTGAGCCAGACACGCTGATCTTAGCTCCTACTCGGGAGCTGGCCCTTCAAATTTATGACGATGCTCTCCGATTCTGCTACGGCACGGACTATCGCGTCGTCCGTGTTTATGGACAGGAGGCACGACAAAATCAAATCCGTGACTTCTCCAAGGGGGCCGACATCTGCGTGGCGACGCCCGGTCGCTTTGCAGATTTCGTGGAGGCTGAGATCATCAGCGTGCAGAAGACGTACTGCCTGGTGCTTGATGAGGCTGACCGAATGCTGGAGTTGGGCTTCGAAGAAACCATCCGAGAGCTCGTGGAAAAGCGAGGCATGCCTGACAAAAGCGAGCGGCAAACCATGATGTTCTCGGCAACTTTTCCAGATGAAATCCAGAAGACTGCCAACAACTACTTGCAACGGCACTTGTTTGTCAGGGTGGGAAAGATTGGCAGCCCTGCTGCAACAGTCACCCAGGTGTTATTTCAAGCGGACAAAAAAGACAAGCTGGAGAAGCTTGTAGCCTTGATTGACGGGTGGATGAAAGATTCTCGGCAGACCGGTGAAGAACGAATGCTCGTGTTCACGAACAGTAAGAACCAGACCAAGGCCTTGGACGAGTTTCTCTGGGACAAGGAGATTGCCAAGACGGGTGCCCTTCATGGCGACTTGGACCAGCCGAAGAGGGAGTCAAACCTCGCCTTGTTCCGCGAGGGCAAGATTGATGTTATGCTGGCAACAGACGTGGCAGCCAGAGGACTCGACATCAGCAAAGTCTCCCATGTGGTGAACTACGACTTGCCGAAGGAGCCAGCTGTCTATGTTCACCGCATAGGCCGTACTGGCCGCATCGGCCATCGTGGCACGGCTCTCAGCTTCGTGACCATGGAAGATGGCTGGTGGATGGATACTGATGAGATGCTCCGAGAGTTGCCCACATTCATGGAGGGGGCACCGAACACCGAGGTGCCGGACTGGCTTCTTGAGAAGTGCAAAACCCTAACAGCAGGAGCATGGGGTAGCAAGGGGGACGATACGAAGGATGCTCGAGAAGCCTGGTCCGGGTCGGAACCTCAGTTGCTCTGTGTTTGCCATGCGAGCGGACAGTGCGCTTGTGGCAGTTTCGAACAAACAAACTGCAGCGCCTGCATCAGGTATGCACCTGCTACTGCAGAAGGAGAGTGGGAACAAACACAAAGCCAAGAAGACACTTGGAAGGACAGCAGTTGGGGGCAGCCTCAGCCTCCCGAAGAGGCCGCTCAGCATGAACAGCAAGAAGCGGCCGGAGAAAGTACACAGGATGCGGGCTGGGGGGTTTCAGCCTGGAACTAGAGCCACGCCGTGAGTCCAAGTTTTGTATAGAGATTTCGTCTCTAGTAGGAAGTCATCCAACACTTCATACTTTAGTCTAGGCCTACCGGCTCTGCGAGTTTGAAAAAGTTGGCAATGAGTTGCTGAGCCGGCCTCTGGTTTTTCCAGCGGCTTTCAAGCTGTCACATGGCGAAAGGCGCTGCTCCAACGAAATCGCGCGCCCAGGAAGGCAGGGCTTAGGAGGTCTCAGGACTCTGTCTCGACCGTCTTGGCCCGGGAAGGTTGTCACTTTGCGTGCACAGCTCCAGAGCCCAAGAAGCTCAGAGTCAGAGCTTCAGGCAGCTCGGGCAGCCTTGGGACTTGGATTGGCTTGGAGTTGGCTTCTTCCCCTTTTCGGCCCTGGATAGCAGATAGGTTGGCGGGGCCCAGCTACCGCAAAGGACGGACGCCCGTGATTAACGGGGAAACTCTCACGTGAGCTTGACAGTCGAGCAGGACAGATGAGACATCCCTGGACGTATTGGCAAGCGTGCCGCAGACGCTGCATATCTCCTGCACGAGCATGGTCGGCTCCTAAGTCCAGAGGGAAGCTCAGTCGAACCGCTGCGGGCATCAAGACATCTCCGCTTGATTTTCTGGAGGCCGGCACGGTCCTCACAGAGCTGGTGCTTGATGCTTCCAAGGGCCTACGGGAGCTGCGAGAGGAGTGCCCACCTGATGGTAGTGGAATCGTCGGGATGAAGACAAAGAGTTGGAGCTCATCTTGAAACTTGAGATGAGTCAACAAAGATTTTGGAAATTCAGACGGACTGTTTCTCCTCACCGCGGATATATGCGCCAACCTGACTTTGATGATGCTGCTTCGGTCACAGCGTGCATGTGCAGCTGCTATGGATTTGCCCTGTGAGGAGCTAGCTGGGAGGCGGGGCATGAGCGAGGAGTCATTTTCAGGAAACGCGCTGAAGATGCCTTTTGCGGCAGGCTGGGCCTTCCCAAGTCAGGAGCTCTCTTGAGAGCCGCCACACCAGAAATGATGTGCAATGCGGGAGTTTGCTGAGGCCTCAGCTCGCCCTGCTTTTACCCGACGGACGCTTGCTCAAGGCATGGTGTGTGAAAGTGCGCAAAGCATGTCTTCCTGCCTTCCATTTCTCCGATTGGACTGACCCCACAGGCACGAGACCATCGTTCTTTGATGGAGATTTTCACCTGCCTGGATTCGCGCAGTCTGTGCCCAAGCCAGCGCTGCACCATGGGCCTTCGGAGATGGCTTGCAGTGTGAAGCCACGGCCAGGTGACGCCGATGATCCCATAGAGTGCTCGTTGGCCTCGACCTGTTGATAGTTAGGCTGCTCCTTAGGGGCAAGGCCACCAGCAAAGTGCTTCGCGATTACCACAGTACTCTTTCAAGAAGTCTTGCGGTTGGGTCGATTGACCGTATTGGGAAGCACGGTGCTAAGAAATCTTAGTCCTGATGTCCGCTGGGTCAACCAGCTGTGGCACACTCTTGTGCATAGCGCCTCGCAAGCGACGTCGCGTCGCCCCTCCGTCCTTAAGACGGCAGAACAGACGGGCCCAGAAGGGCTGCATCCGAGTCCCTAGCTGGCCCAGCCTGTCTTTCGTCACTTGCTATCGACGTGGACTCACAGTGCAGCTTCCCGCTGTCTCCTGTTCCAGCTGGCTCTTGCCGGGTGCACCCTTTTCCACGTTGGGTGACGAGGCCGCCTCGTCGTCCTGCCGGTGAAGAGTTTCCTCCCACTTAGAAGTAGCTTTGGGCTTCGAGGTGCCCTCGTCATGTCACTACATGCTCCGCTGCTGCGGACCGGGCGACCTCGGGGCGACATCGGGCGAGTTGTGGAGCTCTCAGATCCGAGCTGGCAAGGACCTTGGAAGCTCCCGGAGAGGCCTCCCCCACGGAGGTTCGGGCCGCAGGGAAGCTGACAGCGTTTTGGCCTACGGCTCCGAGGGTTCCGATGTCTGAAATCCGTTTGTGGTGTCCGAGTATGTTGCGTTTGATTCCATGGCGCTGCTGCAATCCCTGGTACGGTGCCAGCTGGTTGTTTTGCGAAAGCACAATTGCTGCGGTGAGAGAGGCCACGTAATCCATTCTTGGCACCAGGATGCTGTCGTCCAACATTGGGCCGGCAAATTGGAGGCACTTCTCCTTGTGCCAGCAACAAGCAGGGAGGGCTGTTGTCTTTGAGATTGCCTTCAGGGCTGCACGCCAATTCTGCAGCAGCTTCCGACTGATCAACTTGGACCTTCTGAGCAACACCGCGAGGAGAGCAGGGCTTTTCCTTTCAATCATTCGATTGGCATCCCTGAGACGAAGCGTGCTTGGCTCCTCAGGCAACCACCGTATCGCTCACCTCTTCCACAAAAGGCCGTGAAGCAGAGACTCGTGATGTATGCTCCGTCGGATGTAGACCTGACCAGGTCTGATCTCGCCCGTGCGGGGCTTAGATGGCCCGGCATGATGAGACAGTGTTAAGATCAAAGCAGGTTCCCAAGGTTCCCAAGGCTTCCCATCAAGACATGCTGACATTGCTAGGTCCCAAGCGAGGCAATGGCGCACCTTGTGGGCGGCCTCGCAGCGTTGCTGGGACGATACAGCATGGTGCGCACCAGCCAAGCTTCCTCAGCTAAATCGGACAACAGATTGAATGTGACGGCAGGCCTCCGAGACAGTAATCGGCCTTTGGCGCAGCGATCTGGGCAAGACTGGCTGCCAGCCGTTGCGAGTCAGTCTGTTAAGGTGCGGATCGTAGCTAGAGCATGCTTGCAATGCTTGCATGATCTCGCATGCTTTGCGGGCTTGGTTACTTTGAGTCCCTGTCAGGCAGCCACACGACACAACTCCAGTGTGGCCAGCCGGCCCGGTTACCGGGGAGGAATCTGAAGACTCTGTCAAAAATTGCACGCAGCGGGCTCTCGCGAGACTTGCGGCAGGAAAACTCCGTGATTACACCTTTATCTTCTTTTGCTTCAGCGCGATGCCTCTTCGAGCGCATCGGCTCAGAGGCTGAGCTTTGCAAGCATCTTTGGCTGTGTCGTGTCCACGCCGTGTCAGGCTGCGCTGGTCAAGGCATTGGCCATGGCTTCGGCATGAAATTGTGTTGTCTTAGATTCGATGCAGGATCACAACTTGCTTTTGCAAGTGGATGGCTTGCGAAAGCTGGACATGCTGACAACCTCCGAGGAGGGTTCCGTGAAGCTTGATGGATGCGACGCACTCGAGAAGCTGTGGTAGGCAACAAACGGGAGTCTTCGACTGTGCCGGTCAATGGACGTGGCATGCTCAGAAGCTTGACCGAGCGAGCCTTCATGCCTGGGTGCGCTGGCAAAAGATCTAGTGATCCATCCTAAATAGCCCCAAACTACCGCTGGCGAACGAGTATGCGTGTCGCCCGGTCCCCGAAATTCAAACCGAAGGTCTAGAGAATTTGGGTCAGCTTTGGGCTGAATCCAGCGAAAAATGCAGCTTCGAAGGCTTGCGTTGTCCTCGGCACAGAAGCGATCCCTGCAGCATCCTGTTCAAAGGCACCAAGCGTTCCAAGCACTAGGCGCAGAGTGTGATGAGTAGGACAGCTTTTCTGGCTGCTTCTGCCAGGCTGCGCTGATGCTGGTGTGCACTCGGTGGCCACCGGCTCCGAATTCAAACTCGAAGTTGGAGCGGTTCTGTTGGTACTTATGGTGCGCATGCTTTCCATGGAGCCTTACGGTATGCAGCCCTTTAGCTGCACTTTGATCGAAGGAGCTTCGTTGCCCGCGTGGTTTGTTCTCTCCAGATACCGTTGGCAGGACTCTTGGCCGGGCTTAAAAGTCAAAAGCATTCCGAACAGAACAGATCAAGGATGCCGACTGAAGCGACGAGGGGTCCCACTGACTCCTTTGTTAACAACAGGGTTTCGAAACAGAGTCGCCTGGGGGCTTGGAGCCGGTTTGCGACTCGCCACTCAAAGGAGTTAACGACAGTCAACCTGCATCCAACAGCCGAACTTGCAGAACGCGGCGAGTGCGTCAGTGGGGTTTTCAATCATCTGATGGGAAGCGTTCTGAATGCAGGCCTGCTGAAAGCGACACCCATCCATCCATGCATGCCACGTGCACGCACGCACGCACGCGCACCACACGCACGCGCACGCGCACGCGCACGCGCACGCGCACGCGCACGCGCACGCGCACGCGCACGCGCACCGCGCCGCGCGCACGCGCAGCGCACCAGCACGCGCACGCCGCACGCGCACGCACGCACGCGCTGCGCGCACGCGCAAGGCGCACACCCACACGCACACGCACACGCACACACCCACACACCCACACCCACACCCAGCACAACACCGCACACGCACACGCACACGCACCCGCACCCGCACCCGCACACGCACCCGCACCCGCACCCGCACCCGCACCCGCACCCGCACACGCACACGCAGCACGCACACCGCACCACCACGCACCCGACACCCACACCGCACCCGCACCCACACACACCACACACACACCGCACACCCACACACACGCACACGCACAACACACACACACGCACACCCACACACACGCACACACACGCACACACACGCACACACACACACCCACACACACACACCCACACACACACACACGCACACACACACACACACACACACACACACACACACACACACACACACACACACACACACACACACACACACACACACACACACACACACACACACACACACACACACACACACACACACACACACACACACACACACACACACACACACACACACACACACACACACACACACACACACACACACACACACACACACACACACACACACACACACACACACACACACACACACACACACACACACACACACACACACACACACACACACACACACACACACACACACACACACACACACACACACACACTTGAACACCCAGTCTCGCTGGTTGCATGTTCACTCATGGTCAATTCCGACTCATCAGCGAGTTCAATGACTCCGATGAGAAAACTTCAAAGAAAGCGTTGCCGGTGGGGCTTCAATAGGCTCTGGTTTCCTTGCTGATGTTTACTAAAGAAGAAAAAGCCAAGGGTCCTGAATCATTGCACAGCGAGTATGTGAAGAATGTAGCATTGCACGGCTTGTACTGCAAAGGATGTCACAAACACATTGGCAGGTACGTGGATTGAGCGTCCTCAATCCATTTCACGACAAACTGGAAAGGTCTTCGTTGGACAGTGCCTTCCAGAATGTCCACTGTCCCCCTGCACGATCACTCTCTAGGTCTCAACCTGCAATTCTCACTTGCACTGTCCCGTAGTAGTTTGGGTTCCCCACACACACTGACCTCCGTTGGAGGGGCTGCGGACTCTTCTTTTTCATCGCTGCTGCCGTACTTCTTGGTCTGAAATTGTACGCACGAAGAGCACGGGCTTCAGGGTGGCCATGGATGTAACCGGGTCCCAGTCATGTAGTCGTCGGCGGTTTTGCTCGAAAAAGAACGCTGCAATCTCTGGTACTCTGCCGGTGATCTCTTTGATGCGGTAGGAAAAGATTTTCCGTGCTTGCAGTATGGTATCTCCAAGACAAAGCACCACGTGTAGGAACATATGTTTTTCTCTGGAGATTCGGTCAGGTGGAATTTCCACTGTCATTCGAAAGCATTGAGCCCGCGTAGAGTACCATGGAAGTCCAGCTTCTCCAGCTTTCCGTTTTGGCATGGCTGGCGTTACTACTAAGAAGCCTTAACTTACGGAACCAAAACGCAGAGAGGAAAGAAAAGAAAAGTGATCGCTCATGCATGCCGAATAAGTGACTGAGTACTGCTTGTTGCTCGCTCGTCTTTTTCTCGAACTCTGATCTGCTGCACGTTTTAGTCTGTGTCATGAATCCAACATAGATGTCGTCCCTGTCGCTGATGATGTTCTTCGGAACTTTGTGAAAGCGATGTGTGGGAGCAGTACATGATGGCTAGCTCGGGGTTGCTGCGATGTTCTACTTCGCATTGTTGACAATTGCATGTGCAGTTGACGCCACCGAACATGTACCGTGACTCTCGCGCCACTTTCCTGATGACAAACTCCGCGAGCTCTAACAATTGCACCATACTGAGTTGATTGACGATGCTGTACAAGGTCTCGAGCTGCGAAGGGCCTGCTTGACGTGGTCCTTCCTCTAGGCGCTCTCCATCCCATGTGCGTCTCCCCCGGCGCATTTGTCGAGGTAGCGGACGGTGGGTCAAAAGCTCTTGCTTGAGATAAGTGGCTTACTACGCTCAAGGAATCAACACAAAATTGCCAGGGCACAGTGCAAACCTTAGTTGTAACCGCACAGAACGCAAACTTTTCTTGCTCACTTGGTCTAGCTGCATGCGTCTGCTCTTTAATCCGTGTGGAACCAGCAAAGATGCCGTCCATGCCATATGTGATTTTCTTCCGAACTTCGCGAGTATGATGTGTGAACACATGTTTGGACGACTTAGCTGGGGTTGCAATAGCTGGCGGCTTCGCATTGTTGGCATGGAATGCAGCACCGAACTCCACCAAACATGAAGCTGGTTGCGTTCCTCAATCTGCGCGCCACATACTCTGCCAACTCCAGCAGCTGTGAAATGCTGAGCTGGTTGACCACCTGGTACATGTTGTTGAGCTGGGCTGTCGGCACATCTGCGTGGTGTTCAGCTTCGTCTGAGTAGCGCGCATCACGGTCACGGAGCATTGCCGCTGTCACTGAGCAACTAGTGATAGTTGGAGGGCTTTATGAGCTTGAGACACGGCAATCCAAAACAGTTAAGGCACAATCCTAAACGCTTAAGAGACAAGGGACCGCCTAAAGTCGCAAAGCGTTGTGGAGACTTCTCTGTTTTCTGCATTCTCGTCCTGCTTCTGGCACCGAATTGTGTCCACAGCGTTGTGCTGAATTGAATTATGTGAGGTTGAAGCCAAGCATGCGAAGGTAGCGTTTATCTTCTCTGCAAATGTCCTCGATGCGGTTGGTGGTGTAGGCCGAGATGATCAGGCGGTCGGATTTCCATGGGCACGTGCCATGGAGCTTGAATGGACTGAACTCGATTCCGGGCAGTTTGACTTCAAGGTTGCGACCGCGATGTTGTCCATTTGGGGATAGGTCAGGTCCGTCGTCTTCTTCAACCCATAGGTGTCCTTGTCGGAAAGTCGAGACCGGAATCACAATGTTGAGGCTTCCTGGCTTGTTGTACTTGTCTCGGTGCGTACGCATGTGCACATTGCGGAGTAACGATACAGTCGAGAATGTAGTGTGGGTGCATGCTCGTACCAGGTATGCCATGAGTGCTGCCGTCCACGGTCTTTGCCTCGTGTTTGTGCGTACTCCGGTGCTGCCGGCGTGGTAGTAAGCGCCGACTGTATATGACGTTGTTCTTCTGCCTGCTTTTGTAAGTGCTGAAGCTCGGAGGAATTCGGAGTTGAGCTGGGTGGATAGCCTTGGGAAGAGCTCGAAGGGAATGTATCTTTGTTGGAGGAGTAGTTGGCATTCTTGCTCGACTGGATCGTCTTTTGCTGTTGAACTTTCGGGTGCACTCATGTCCAGTGGTAGTCCATGTGGTAATCTGACGATGTATTCTGCGGCCTCGGAGTCGGTATCGATGTCGGTGAGCTCTGCGGCGCTTGTGGCTCCATTGATACGTTGCTTTTTAGTCATATTAGCCCTAAGTCGTACCAACGCAAGGCTTGAACCAAAAAACTGAAGAAAAGTGTTGAAAGGGCTGAAAGAACCAAAGCAAAAGGGCTAAGACGTTGCACCAGCTACTGCCTACAGGTCTCTGGCTCTGTTGAGTTTTCAGAAGGCGCGCATATCCCAAGTCACCGTAGAGGTCGTCCAGTTCTTGAATTTGTCTCTGGGCTACATCTTCCGGGTAGGCAATGGTGCGGATGAGATGCTTTCTGCTGTGATATCCGCTGAGGCGTAACTTTGTAGTTCCGGCTGACTGAGGGAGTCTGTATCTCCAAGGCTCGCGATGGAGATTGTACGTGATTTTGCGATTGTCTGCGTGAATGCGAAATCCCAGAAAATCGTCACACGCTTCGTCTTCAAGTTGTACTGGTTTCTTGTAGAAGTGCAGGGACGCAAGCTGCTGAATGAAGGGGTTGTGCTGAAGTTCGTCTTCATCGACTATAATGGCTCTGTTGTCGACGTACCTGCGGATCCAGAACTTGTCGTGGAGGTGGGCGCTGCTGACAAATTGACCGTACATCCGTAGCCATGTGATTTCTGTTGCCACGATTGCGCACGTGGAGAGGATGGGGCTGATTTGGTTTCCCATCGACGTGCCGCATGTCTGTTGGAATACTTCGCCAATGGCTGTGAAAGCACACGCGTCGAAGCTGAACTGAATGATGGCTGGTATGTGCTCTGCCTGCATCTTGACCATGTTGGACTTCAGGCTGTGCGTTGAGCGGCCTGAATGCGCTGGTGCGATCTTGTTGTGCGGATCGACGGTGATGGTGGCGTTATGCTCGTCAAGGAACTGAGATGTGAGGAATTGGATGCTCTGCAGGATGTCGGATTGTGGTATCGAATTAAAGAAGCCGACCAGATCGTGGTTGAGAAATTTCAAGTGCCTCTCCGGGTACAGGTGCTCGTTGTTGTAGAAGAGTTGGTGTATTTCCTCCCATAGTTGTGGCGAGCTGACGTCGCCAAAATGGTTGGGCCATGTTATCCTCAACATCTGGTGTAATGCTAGCGCCGCGATCTTCAGCAGTTTGCCGATGCACGTATTGCTATACGCGATAATAGTCCTCCCTTTTGCCCACCTCTTTTTCCGTTTCATGAGGATATATCCATACGGAAGGGGCTTTTCGTAGTCAAGGAGCTTGGCGTAGTGCTTGGCGACGATCTTGGGGGTGTTGTTTTTCATGGCCTGCTTGATCTCGGCAGGGTCGGCATCTAGCATTCTGAATGTTTGTTTGTCCATCCAAGTGTTGTAGGCTGCTTGGTTGTAGATGTTCGGGCAGTAGATCATGAGGTGCGCGTTGGCGTGGTCCTCGTTGTGCACAATGTAGTCATCAGGGATCATGCCCAATATGTTCTTTGCTAATCTGTGCGTGAGTCGTGGCTCTCGTTGAAGTTGTAGTCTGTGTTGCTTCCACTCCTGCTCGAAGAAGTCGTCAAAGTCGTCGAGGATGCGTTGATCTCGAGGAAATTGGTGGTGCTTGAGCCATCGTTGAAATTGTTCTTGGTGCTGCTTCTTGATACGCTTCTTGGAGGAGTAGAAGGCGTTCCCGGCCCCAATGTTCTGAAAGATCTGGTTTGTGCTGTGTAGTTGTAAGGTTTCTAAGCCCGTCACCACATGTCCTTCGTGTACTTGTGCTCGCGGATGTTGCTTGATGAATTGGGCACACTGACATTCTGTAGGCTTCCAGTGTCTGCCCATATCGGTGACTTTCCGCTTGTGGTTCCAAAGAGCTCGCTCGAGAGAGGGGTGCGTTGCCTCCTGGACCGTCTTGGTTGGTAGATGATATGGTATAAGCACATGTCTGTGTGTCCTGCTGAGTCGTACCAGGTACTTTTCGAGGTTAGTGCGGTGCGACGCATGTGCAAGTAGAGGGACTTTCAGGGGCTTGTTGTGCTTTGGGATCGATGCGTTCTTGAACTGCAGGACTTTTCGTAGTCTGGCTCGTGCTTTTGATCTCCATGGTTGCTCCATGTGGTTGGCGAGTCTGTAGAGCAGGGTAACTGTTTCGGAGTCATGTTTGCCACTGCGTAGCTCCTTGGAGGCCTCAAATTCTTGCTTGGTATCGCTTGAGATAGCGTACAAGAGCTTCCAGAATTGCGCCTGCTTGGGGAGCGCATTCACAAGCGAGGATCTCTGTCCTTGTACTCTTCGTCGGAGTTTTTTGAAAAGTTGTCTTCCTAGAGAATCTGGTGGGTGGCGAAGATGTGGTTGTTGATGTTTAGGGACCAATCCATGCGCCTTCTTGACCAGCTCCTTCGTGACAAACGGGTAGTTCAGCTTGGGCTGCCATCTCTGAATCAGGCTGTGTTCTTCGGCCCAGGCGTCAATATACTCCGAGTGCTGCGAAAGGAGGATGGTGCTGTAGTGCTGGTAGGTCTGGGAATCGTTCCAATAACGAATGGCGATCTCGGTTTTGGGAAGTTTGAGTTGTTGTAGTTGACGAAGTTTTGCGACTCTGTTGTACTCTCTCTTGGCCACCGTGATGTTGGTGGATCCGATGTAGCAAAATGATGCGTCCCTGGTAGCAGTCGCATAGGTTTGCTTGTTGAGCCTGGGGAATACAAGTTTGACGTACACTGCACAGGGCTGAGAGAATTTCTCGAACGTGTAGAGTTCTGGAACCGCACCTTTTTCTCGGAGTCGCTCTTTTAGTTGCTCTGCTGCAGGCGATTGCCGCATTCTATGAAAAGTGAATACAAGATGAATAAGTCCAACTAACCACATCAAAACTTCTTTATTAATAGCAGGAACATGAAAAAGCAAAAACTGCCCCCAGTCTACTATCTGTTGCAGCTGCTGGAAGATGCTGGCACTTTCTTGATGTGCTAGGGGTCCTCTCAGGATTTTCTGCACGTGTCACACGGCGAGGTAGGTGACGGCGGCGATCAGCTGCTGAAGGTTTTTGGGTGAAGCCTTTGGCGCTGTAATTAGTGAGGGACATGGGAAGTCCCCATCTCGTAGCCATCTCCTGTAGCTCGGCCTTGGTGTATTTGGCGCCTTCGAGGATGGTCTGTACGGACTGTATGTGATTATCCACTTCCGCATGCTTTTCTCGGGGGAGACTCTTCTTGAGGTTGGTGATCCAAGTTGCAATTGATGTCATACTTGTCGGAGGCTCTTGTCCACTGGCACGGATCACATTGTGGGGCTCGGCGAGGATATCCTCGTTGCGTTGCTTGATGGCTCCCTTTGTGAGGCGTCTGCGCTTTGGTGGTGCCGCCGTTGCTTCTGGGCCTTCATTTGGCTCATTTTGCAGTGGGAGGGACTTTTGGGGGGTGACGTCGATGCCGGCACTGCGTAGGCGTTGTTTGTACTTGGCGGTCTGCTCTTCCAAAGCTTGCATGCGTTGTGCTGCTTGGTTGTCGCCCTCGGTGTTCTTGGCGCCGTAGTTGCGCACCTGTGCCCAAGGTTTGATGGCATCCATGATGGTGTCGACGAGGGGTGCAACAAAGGTGATGGCCTCTTTCACCTTGTCAGGGGCTTTTTGTCCTTTGCTTTGGTGGATGGCGTCGATGGTGGCATCCACGTCGATGTTGTTCTCGCGGAGCTTCTTCTGGAGCTGGGAGAGGAGGACGCTCTCGGCGATGTTGCGGGTCAGAATCATGCCGGTGAACTTGCCGTGGGAAAGTCCTCGAAGTCCAAATTCCTCCATGCCATGCCTGCAAAGATGCGCAACGGTGACATCACGGACGTCCATGCCTGCAAGTCCTTTGGCACGGCTCCAAGCTGTTGGCTCTATTGTCCTCTTCAAGGTTGCTTTGAATACAAGGTTCGTATCATAGTGGTCTGGGTCCTCTGAAAACTGACTGGGAAGTGGTACCCGTGCCGTGGTTGCCGATGTCGTCGGTGTACTTGTTGCATTGGCTGGCTCCGGCTGTGTGTTGCACGGTGGCGGCGGCGGCGGCAAAGGTTGTGTAGCCGGGCTGGATGCGGGCGGAGGCATAGGTGGCCACGACGGCAACGGTGTTGTCGCTGGCAAGGGTGCCGGAGTTGGTGTGCTCGACGCGCTCCCGCTGCCTGACGCCCACCACGGCATATTCGATGCTCCCTGAGACCAATATCCGGTCCATGCATTCGCCATTGCGTATGGGGGTATCTAACAATTGGGGCACCGTCTGAACACTCAAGGCAAAGGGATTTAAGGAAAAAGTAAAGGCACAACAAAAGTCCAAAAATCTTGCAGCATCATAAGAATCAGCGGAGCTCATGTGTGTCTTTTACTGCGAAGAATGCTGTTTGGGGCGTCGCAGTCGGTGTCGGCACTGAGCCATTAGAAGATTTGCAGTACTTGCCGAAGGGGATGTCCAGGCGGAGCTTTCGTGGTGCTGTCGTGGATGCTCTGTTAGATGAGCGAAAGTCTGGCTCTTCCTTGGGGAGTGATGCCTGCAGCTTTTTGGTACTGCGAGATGAGCGTATTGGCTGTTGAAGGCGGTGTCATCAGCTGCTCGAACGCAATGCATGTAAAGCAATATCTGTTGCGAGATACGCAATAAGCTTTTGCATTCGCATCCTTGAGCACCTCGTCCTCTTCAGTGGCTGCCCGAGCTGTTTCATAGGATCCGCCAAGATGCTTGCGTAGGGATCCCCATGCACGGCCTCCCACGACGATGCCTGCCAGGTTCTTGGCGCTCCGTGTGGTGTTGAAGATCACCCTGGTCAGGTTGTGCTCGTCGATGTCTGATCCGGACATCTCGTGGCCGAGGGCATAGAAGATGTTGCATCCAAAGGCTGCCACTCCATGCGCGTTCATCGGACGCATATTTCGCTCTTTCAACATGTTGAATAACGCTCCCACATCTGTTGCATGCGACCAGAATAGGATCTTTTCTTGCCGAGTTGGTAGAGGAGGATTTTGCAGGGTGAGGTCTGAAGATTGCAAGAAATAGAATCTTCTCATTGTCTCTGGAGTTGGGTCGCCTCCTCTGTCCCACGTGAGGTCATGCTCCAAGAGAACTCCCTGGTCGATCCTGAACTCCGCTGCAGCGCAAAGTGCATCCACGTACTGCTTGGTGGAATCGTGTATGGGAAACTGTGGAATCTCAATGTCCTTCCAGTTGACCTTGAACTGCCTAAGGTTCTTGTGGAATGTAATAGTTGAAGGCATCCGCGGAGTTTCATACAGCTTGAGGTCGATCTTGGGTCGCTGCGACTGTGTCTTTGGTGCTGCCAAAGTACCTGTGTTGCTGAGGCCCGATGCCCTGGATCTCTGCGTTGTCCTGGGGGAATGAGATCTGGATGTTGTCCTGGGAGCGTACGATCTGGATGTTGTCCTGGGAGCGTGAGATCTGGATCTTGTCATGGGAGTGCGCGATCTGGATCTTAATATCGCCCGCGGTCTGGTGGTCCTTGAGTCGCTAGGGCTCCTTCGTGAGGGACTGCGTCTTGGAGATCTGGAGTCCATGGCTCTCTTTTTCACCAGCAGCGGTCTGGCGGGTCTTGCGCTTGCCGTTGTTTGTAATGGCACCGGTGGTAGCGCGGGCAATCCCGACGAAGATGACGGCTTTGGCATAGGCGGGGCTTCTCCTGCTCCAAGTTGGTCGCTTCGCTGAAAGTAGGGACGGGGGGACATAGTGCGTCCCTCATGCTTGCGGAACGCCGAGAATGGCTGAGCTTTTCGCTTTGCCTTGGCACCAGATCCAACTGCACTCTGCTCGGTATCCTCGGCTGTGGAGTCTTGCGTTGTTCCGTGTGGGTTCGCCGCCTGCAGTGCCTGGAGCTCCTGTTGACTGAATAATAAGCTCGGGGATCTCCTTGTGGCAGCCGTCGTTGTGCGGGCTTCTTTGCGAATTCTTTTCAATGGCGGTCTCTCTTGATCTGAGGTTGGAGGTGCCGCTGTCGTTGAGGATGCTGCTCCTCCACTTAATGCTGCAAACGCCTGCAGTAAGTCTTCGGGCTGCGCATTCTTGATCTGGATGTTAATCTCCATGGCAGTGGGGCGCAGCTGCTAAGGACTACTTACTAGAAACAAAACCTACCGCAACCAAAAGGAAACGAAACAAAACAAAACAAAACAAACCAAATACTGCTTAAAGACGAGGGTCATGCACTGCACTTCTACAAGTAAATTAGACAAACTAAAGCTTAAGCATGGACATGTATGCACTTCAAGCGTATTTCAAGACATTGAGACTTCAAGCTGATTGCGCTGGTCCTCTTGATCAGCATGTGCTTTCCGGATTCAAGACATTGCTTTCCAGTCTGTTGATGTTTGAGGTCTCTTAGGAACCTAGCCAAGGATCACGCGTCCCACTCGGGGCACTGTTTCAAGGGATACTGCCTCGAGAGCAGCGGTAATGGCGCCGTGACGGATAAGGCCATGCCCGATTCACACTTGAACACCCAGTCTCGCTGGTTGCATGTTCACTCATGGTCAATTCCGACTCATCAGCGAGTTCAATGACTCCGATTAGAAAACTTCAAAGAAAGCGTTGCCGGTGGGGCTTCAATAGGCTCTGGTTTCCTTGCTGATGTTTACTAAAGAAGAAAAAGCCAAGGGTCCTGAATCATTGCACAGCGAGTATGTGAAGAATGTAGCATTGCACGGCTTGTACTGCAAAGGATGTCACAAACACATTGGCAGGTACGTGGATTGAGCGTCCTCAATCCATTTCACGACAAACTGGAAAGGTCTTCGTTGGACAGTGCCTTCCAGAATGTCCACTGTCCCCCTGCACGATCACTCTCTAGGTCTCAACCTGCAATTCTCACTTGCACTGTCCCGTAGTAGTTTGGGTTCCCCACACACACACACACACAGACACACACACACACACACAGACACACACAGACACACACACACACAGACACACACAGACACACACACACACACACACACCCACCCAACCACCCACTCTGAAAATCGCAAAAAAGTGACTCCCGCAAGTCCCTCCTCCATTTCTCCCGCCACATGCGGGGGAGTTACCATTCTGGGGGTTATGGGCTGTGAAAATCGCAAAATGGCGACTCCCACGCATCCCTCTCTCTGTTCTCTCCCGCCACACATGTGGGAGTCACCATTTTGGGGCTTTTGGGCTGTGAAAATCGCAAAATCACGATTCCCGCTCGTCCTGCCCCCCCAGTTCTCTCACCACACGCGGGGGAGTTTCCATTTTGGGGGTTTGGGGCTGTGAAAATCGCAAAATGGAGACTCCCGCGTCCCTGCCCCCCGCTCTCCCGTCACACGCGGGGGAGTTACCATTCTGGTGGTTTTGGGCTGTGAAAATCGATCGCAAAATGGCGACTCCCGCGCATCCCTCTCCCCCTTCTCTCCCGCCACACGTGAAAATCGCAAAATGGTGACTCCCGCGCGTCCCTCCCCCCCGTTCTCCTGCCACCAGAGTGGATTCTATATTAGCCTGTCATGGCAACAACGCGCTCTCGATCTCCCACCACACACGTGGGAGCTACCATTTTGGGGCTTTTGGGCTGTGAAGATCGCAAAATGACGATTCCCGCGCGTCCCTGCCCCATGCGGGGGAGTTACCATTTTAGGGGTTTCGGGCTGTGAAAATCGCAAAATGGAGACTCCCGCGTCCCTGCCCCCCCGCTCTCCCGACTCCATGAGACAGTAGTGGTACTGCCCTGGGTCCCCGTTGGTCAGGATGATTCGACATCTGACGGCACTTCTGGATGCCATGGTGAGGCCACTAGACTCTGCCCCCAGGCTGAGTTTCTGTGTGTGACATCGCACGGACAGCAGGTCGCCAACAATTGCCATTTGTCAGCTGCCACTGCATGAACCCACATCGCCGGATGAAGCAGAAGTGTCAAGCTGGGCCGATGCATACAGCTGCTTCGCTGCAATTGCAAGCAGCCAGACTTTGGTCCAGTACTGAAAGCTTGGCTACTGCCTCAGGCTCTTCGTGCTATTGCCCACGGGCTTCGAATCTTTTTTCTGCCGACCGCTCCATGACATCCATGTTGCTTGGCTTGACTGGTCCTCGGCTTAAGGCACTGAGAGGATCTGAGAGGATTCTCGAGGCTCGCGGCCACTGCAGCAACGTCGCCTGATGCCCTCGCAATGGTCGACGACGGCAACGGGGCCACCTACACCTATGAGGACTTCGGGGAAAATGAGACGAGCCGATAGATGCGTGAAGTTGGTAGACCAAGCCGCCCACTGCCCACTGCTACTGGCAAGGAAGTCTTGAAGATGTCCAGTGCCTGTCTCAGAAGAAGTCGCTGTTGGTCTGGCTGGCTTAAAGTGTCTGTGCCGTAGCCGGGCGAGTGAGAGGAATGTGGTGGGGGGTGGGGCGGGGGCGGGGCAGTCAGGACACACGCCAGATTGCACAAGTAATTTTCTGCATAGACCTTGTGTGTGTGTGTGTCAATGTGTTTGTATTGTTGAAGATGTTGGACACATGCAGTGGTCGTCCCTGTGAGAGGGCATTTCCAGCTCCGAGGTTCCATTGCCCATGGCCTTGCACGCACTGGGGAGTCTCCACTGCACATGATGAGCCCAGAATAAGAACCACTCCAGGCCACTCAGCTTTGAGACGGAGAAAGCCGTCTGAGACCTTTAACCAAGGTTCCTGTGGACAGTCTGGTCCCGTTGATGGCTTCAAGAAGCGTCGAGATGATCTTGGGAATTCTCGGCATCATTCGGACCGGAAGTGGTCCAGCCCCTAGAACGTTGTGAGTTGTGGCTTATGTGTGAATGCCCTGCAAGGTGGAGTCGGAATGAAGGTTCATGAGTGCCTACATCCGCTTTGAAGCGAGGCTATGTTCCTTTGGATCTGCACTGGCCGGACGATCGTCTTCAAGACGTTTTGCGCCAATGCAGATCGAAGGCGATCAGAGTCGGCTGACACATGCACAATGCAACTACGCACGTTGAACATGGTCTTGCCGTGCTTGAAGCTTTCGTGGATCCAGACCTTAAGGGGTGCCTTCTCCATGCTCCGATTCGCCGGCCGTTGCTCTGCACAAGAAGTAGCGATGTGTCGGCCAGGTGGTTCTCGCATCTTCTGATTGCCACAAGAAGCTTTCGCACATAGCCCTCGAGGCGTTGGGTCCAGAGCGTGATTAAATCATTTGCATTTGAAGCGGCAGCCGGCAGCCGCGGCAGGTGGAGGTTTCGCATGTTCTGGACATTTCGATGAATGCAGCCAGCGGTGGCCACTTGGAAGACCGTGGTTCCGGCAGCTCACTCGTCTATGCATTCTTCACCTCCGGCACCACTGGGAAGCCCAAAGGAGTGATGGTGAGCTTCTCAGCTCAGTGCGGCCTGCGGCGTTCTTTGTGCCATTGTGCCACATGCGTGTCACCAGGTGGAGAACAAAGGACTTGTACAGGGCCCAGAATCCTGCATCCAAGTGCAGTTTACTGCTTGTTTTGCCTGTCTTGTTCTTGCAATCTTGTCCAAGTCACATCATGCTTGCAGCATCTTGCAGCTGCTGTAGACCTTTCCGTTGTTCGTCAGCTAGGTTCACCGGATTCATTGGTTTCAGCAGAAGTGGCCTCTCCGGCAAGGAGAAGGTGTTGTCTCCAAGGCGTCCCCGCACCGCTAACCATTCGATAACAGTGCTATACCCTGTCAAGCTGCCTGCGTTTGACACGTACGAGGTGGCGTATACCTTCGGCTTGTCTGAGTGGGAGATCTTTTGGCCTCTTGTGGCTGGAGCTACACTCGTCATTGCTCCACCAGGCACGTGCCAGGTTCAGCGCTCTTCCGAGAGCGAAATTTGGGGTTCTGTTCCTCAGATGTTGTCAGGTGGCGAGAAAGATGCGGACTATCTACTGCGCCGTGCATGCAACGCATTCACTCCCCCGCACCCGAAGGAGCCACTAAACCCGCATCCAGCCGCATTATGGGGGCCCTGCCGCAACCCAGTCTGCATGTTCAGAAACTGTGCCGCAGCTAAAGCATGTCTTGGAGGAGGATGCTCGGCTGCTTCCGGGAAGGGGACCGTCTCCCGATCTGATCCACTGCGTGGCTGCGCATGTGTTCGTTCGGCTCTTGGTCGTGGCGGAGTCTTTCGGCCGCAGACGATTTTTTGAGCTTTTGCTGCAGGTGCCCTCTATGCTTCAGATGGTCCTCGAGAAGTACGATGAGCTGGAGGACCCTCGGGTGCTGTGACTGTGTGCTGCCTCAAGCAAAAGGCGAGGCAGCTGCTTCGTGGGCCACTCTGCCACCTTGCTGCGTCAGGAAGAGGACTTGCAGCGCAAAGCTGAGGAGCATCATTCGGAAGGCCGCTCGAGTTGAGCACATGTTGAGGATCCTAAGACTGTGGCCCCCGAAAAGCATGCGCGCAACAAGACCGGACAGACACAACTCAAAAGAAACCACTTTTCACGAAATCACATCACATGCCAGAACAGCAAAACAGCAGACAATCAAAGGTCAAAACACACCACAGTGGCACAGAAACAACCACCACAAGTGACGAGAACCAGCCAACACACAGGTTTTTTTTGCTGTTTCCGCCACCTGTTTGTATAGCTACTTGCAACAAAGCTTGCCGACTTGCAAGTCTTATGTTAGGAGACGTGGGCCAAAATGGCTGGCAGAGCCCAAGTTCGTGGACCGTGGGTCCTTCAAAGATTTGTTACTTTCGCTCCCGCTTTTTCTCTCGCGACCGTCGATCATGGCATTCACCCCCGTTGCTAATGTCGATGACGTCCTTGCTTCCAGCATGGAGACGGTTGAGAGTTTGGTTCCCCCTCGTGACACAGGGGACAGTGATCCGGAATGGGAGAAGCCGGATGATGATGTGGCTTTGGCCCGTGCTACCCTGGCACACAATCTTTCTGCCCATGAGGATGAGACGGTGAATTCCACCCTGACCTCCTTCACGACTTTGGAAGTGGACGAAACTGCCTTGGACCTGCGGCTCCAGGAAATGGATGCGGCCATGGCACGTTTGTTGACCAAGGGCAGTGAGAAGGTGGTTGTCAAGGAGGAAAGTCAGCTGCCAAGCGACATGGCTGCTGAGGCGGCCCACCATGAGGACAACCCATCTGCAGCCATGGACACGGACCCGATCGGCTCCCACATGGAGACCACTACCGAGATGGACACCTCGGGCCCTGAGGTACCAATCCCAGGTGACGGGCAGTGGTGACTCGTCCAAGGCCAAGCCCTACTCAGCCCTGCCAGCCGGCACCTTGGAGGAGAAAGTCTTCCGCATCGAGGGTTTCCCGGATGACTTCCCCGGCATTGGCAAGAAGAGTGCAGATCTGGCACAGCAGCTGACCAAGGAGGAGATCGCCTCCTTGTTCTCCAAGCTCAGGACGGAGACCTGGACCCGCCCTGCCGTTGAGAGGGTATTGGAAGTCTACCAGATCTACAAGAGACAGCTCGCCCAGGAAAAGACTAAGATGCTCGCAGCCCCCTACAATCGTGCTCGCAGGGGAGTGGGCCACAGCAGCATGGGAAAGCTGGACCCTGGCAGCACCCGCTCAAGGACATGGACCTGGACGTGAGAGTGCACAGAAGGTTGGATGGATGGGAAGGGTCTTTGTGCATTTATAATGACTCCTGCATCACCGTTAAAATCACAAAGAGGGTGGTACCATAAGGCGCGCGCGCGCGTCGGTGCCACACCGTAGCCATAGTGGCTTGAGATGCAGGCTGATTCTCGTTGCTCTTTCCCGCCCGACCCTCCCAAAGAGGTTTCTCGTGGAGACGAGTGGGTGAGCATAGTTGGGTTAACCAGGGGACATCTGACGAATGTAAGGTGTTCGCTGGGTCTGCAGTGGACCCATCTTTGTCCAATGATTCAGGGTCCTACAGACTACAGAAGAGCGCTGAAGGAAAAAGTGCGAGCTTCGTATCCGATGTGAATCAGTGAGCCCATTAAAATTGAGGCCATGAAGGACAGGTACCTCAACACGAAGTTCCTGCTGAACCAGAGCAGGAACCCCTTCCCGGCCTCCTTGCTGCAGGAGCTCCCCAGTCTGGCCGCGCTCCAGCGTGAAGGCGAACGGGTCTCAGGCAGGGGGCTGTCCTCCGCAGGTGCCTTTGGCCCTGAGGAGCAGTCCCCTGAGGCAGTTCTGGGTGATTCCCCTGGGCTCGGTCGAGTTCCAGATCATGCGCCTCAAGCGCATCATCGAGCTGCACGTGGGGGAGCAGCGAATGATGGGGCAGATGGAAGCAGCTGCAGGGCCCCCTCGTGGCCCCGATGTGGGCAAAGCCTCTCCCTGAACCGGAGAAGCTCATGTTGGAGATGAGGACACACCCCTGCTCCTGATCGCCCTCACCCTGGAGGAGATTGAGGCACAGATCGCAATGGGCACGAGATCATCGGGCCCTTCCATGCGGAGGGGGATGATGGCACCCACTGGCAAAAGGAAGTACAGACGTTTCTCCCGCTTCGGCCACACCTACTCGGCCAGACACCTGTATGCTGTTTGGAGCCACCTGCCGATCACCATCAAGGCCCACAAGCGGGGGATAAGAACAAACAGCACAAACCTTCAAAGGCGTGATGACCGTCGCGCTCTCATGAAGGAGGCCAAAGAGTTTGTGATCCTGCACGACCTCCCGGTGCCCACGACGGACCAGGAGTGGAAGCAGCTCTATCGCGAGATGGGGAGCTTTTTCGCCGCCAAGGTCTTCATCAACCGGACGCCGCAGGTGGTTTTGGACCTCCCTGTAGCGGACATCCACGACTCCAAGGCGCACATGCGGCTGCGAGCCGTATGCGATGAACGGATCACCCTGCCCTTGAATGCCTTCCGGCATTTCCCGGAGATTTACAGCTCACTCTCCAACTCGCTGGGCCAGGAGGCGATGGTGGAGATCAAGATGGCGTGGCGCTGCAACACGGAGCAGTGGTGGACAGCCCGCCTCAAGCCGGAGTACGCCGCCCCCATCTACCGCAAGCTTGGCTATTCGGAGAGCTACGTCCAGGGCCTTGGACTGGGGGACATGGACACCTCAGCTGCCTTTGGCGCTGAAAGGATCCTCATGGACCCCGGGTCGGAGCAGGAGCGCGCTCTCCCGCCCGTCACCCCGGACAACGTCTCGAGCGTGGCCTCGGACGACTACAAGAGGAAGGCGGGTGACAAGGCGGCCCTGGGCCAGAATGGAGTGTGGCCTGGTCCTCAGCTCCGTTTCTCCCTGGGAGATTGTCGACAAGAAGAAGGGCGAGACCCGGGGAGGCTACGTTTGCCGTCGCTGTCGGGGATTCTGGCGCGGCGCCAAAGGTGCCAGCAGCAGGTTCCTGCTGATCACGGGGGAGCACCGAGGAAAGGCTGTTCAACTCCAGCTCATCCTGGATGAGCGAGGCCTGGGTCAAGGACCGGATCGAGTTCTACAAGAGGGTTGAGCCCACAACGGCCCCTCCCGATCGCTCCCTCCGTGTCAACCCCAGCCTCAGCTCCAGGCTCCGGTTCAGCAAGACGAACCTCATGGGCCATGTCTCGGACATGATCTGGTCGGTGGTGCTCTCCAACCCGGAGCGGGATGGCTTCAAGAAGATCCACGAACGAGATCGCAGCATCCCGAGTCCGCCCGGCCTGAGCCCCCTTTTTGAACAGGGCACGTGGAGGGGGAACCCCTGCCAGGTGCTTATGGCCCTGAAGGGGGTCTTCCCCTCCCTTCAGGTAACTTTTGCTTTTCTTTGGAGGTGCTCCCTCCCAGGTGCCTTTGGCCCTGAGGGGGATACCTACCCTGCTCAGGCCTTTGGCCATATTTCAGGCCTTTTCTTCGGCAAGGGGAATGCCCACCGGAGATGGGGGGACTCCCAGGTGCCTTTGGCCCTGCCGGTCCCCCCCCTGTTTCCAAAGAGGGGCGGACTTGGCTAGACGTGCCGGCCTACAGATCATCTCCTTCGCGAAAACAAGGGCCCGTAGTCTCCTCTTCTGCTGCCCGTCCCCCTTCGGGCGGGCCCTGGTTAGGGCTCCTGACCCTTTTCCTCACTGTTTTTTTGAGGTCGGGCCGCTCCTTTGAGGAGGAACAAGTGGACGTACAACGGTCCGGCGGGCAAGCAATTGTGGATTTCATGGCCCGTTGCAGGCCTACTCAGGACTTGGACCGCGTATTAGGCGTGCCGGAAGGGCCGCCCCGAGCGGTGGTTTTGTCATATCGCCCTACGCAGGTCTTCCAGCTGATTGTGGAGAGGGCCCTCTCTCTCTCTAGGCCCCGCGGGGGAGGAGGTTACAGGACCTCTGCACTAAGGCCGCTGCAGGTACTCCATCCCACCTCTCTCGCAAGTGGTTCAACGACGGGCGGAGCTTGATCGCCTCTCTTGGCGTGAACTGAGAGAGGGGGTCCTGGTTGCTCCCTGTACGGTGAGCCGATGGCGACATTGGAAGCCCGGAAATGTATCCGAGCACCATTCCACAAACCAGCTGGCCCTGGAACGGGGCCTGCGGGAGAAATGGGGGGAAAGGCTCCTTTCTTACCTCCTTCCGGTGGCTGGGCAGATCCCGCACATGGCTGCTATAATGCCCCTGGCACCACCCTCATTTCTCTCGAGCTGAAGGGGGAGTTCATGGATCTCTTAGGCGATGCCAGGTTCCGCACCCTCAGGATGCGATGCCTCTCCTATGAAGAGCTCAGGCGTCTTGGGTTCACGGCCATACCTTGGAAGGAACACGACGTTCGTGCTCTCCTCAACACTCTTCGGGATCAGGAAGTGTCCCCTCACAAACTTCAGCAGGTGTGGGACACTCTCAAGTGGTTTGGTAAAAAGTTCGGGCTCCTTGCTGTTGACGAGGCCTTTCGGCTCACTGAGAAGAAGAAGTCCCTCTCTGAGTCCCTCGTTAGCACGGTCCACCGTCCGATGAGGAAAGCTCAGGTCCCTTCCAAGTCCTTCGTGGTTCAGGCGGAAGAGGTTGCAGCTCGCCCGCTCTCCAGCTCGGCCACAAGAATCGAGCTTATGGACGCCTTCATCTGTGGCATTGCAACGTTCCAGCTCGGCTCCAGTGCCCGCTTCAGTGACCTTCAGCATACTAGCCCAGACACCCTCAAGGTGACCTCCACTACCATCGAGTTTTCAGCATGGCAGACCAAGACCCACTCGGCGGTGACGATTCACAAGAAGCCGGTCCCCCTCATCTGCCCCAAGTACTCCTTCTCGGGCAAGGACTGGTGGACTCCTCTCATTTCCACTTGGCGCAAACTGGCTGCGACCCCCATGTTCGACACCATGGACTATCTCATCCCGACCGTTGGTAAGGACAACGATGGTTTCATTTCGAGGCCTGCCACCTCACAGCGCGCCCTGAATTGGCTGCGCTCGGCCATGTCTAGACAGGAGATCGACAAGCTGTGGGAGGGACTCACCTGGCACTCCTTCCGGGTCTTCATGCCGGACTGTGATCAAAGGCAGTACCTTGGCAACTGGATGGCTGAAAGTACTGCTGATGTCTACACACGGGAGAAGAGGAACGTGGTTTGCGCCGGAAAAGGTCACCTCCAATCTGGACCAGATCGACACGGACGGGGCCCGCCCGCAGCACCCCCAGGCCCAGCAAAGTCCTGCTGCTGGCCGGCTCCCAGTCGCAGGTGCCAGTGGCCCTGACAGGGGAGCCCTCCGCGTCCGGTGCGCGACTCATCTCGGGATGTCTCCCGTGCGGGAGACTCCAGTGAATCAGCCTCCTCAGGTAGCCTCACGATGACTCCGTGGACACGGCCTCGGAAGCAGAAAAGGTCACCTACCAGGACCTGGACAAGGCATTGGCCTCCAAAGGCCAGCCTTAGATGGACGACATCTTTCAGTTTTGGGGTTCTTTTGTGCCGTCCATCCTGCGGCTTCGGCTTCTTTCTGGACGGCACAAAATTTTGGAACTCTCTTTTCTGTACAAGGAGGGTTCCCGATCCCAGGTGCCGTAGGCCCTGAAGGAGGGGACCCTCCTTTGCTTGAAACGGCCTCTTCAAAAGTCTGAGGTCTTCGACCGAAGGAATATCCCGGGAGTCGGCAGCCACACCAATCCACCATGCAAAAGAGGGCTTGCTCGCATGGTGCTTTTGGTGTGCCATTTTCATGCGGATATCTGACATTAGCTACTTGCAACAAAGCTTGCCGACTTGCAAGTCTTATGTCAGGAGACGTCTGCCAAAATGGCTCTGCCATTTTGGCCCAAGTTCGTGGACCGTGGGTCCTTCAAAGATTTGTTACCCGCCCACCCTTCCCCATGGCTACGCCAGTCACTCTGGCCAAACCCCCTGAGGCTATCCCGGATGCTTATGCCGACCACATTGCAGAACTCCATTCGGCCGTGTCCACTTTGTTCGCGAGGAAACAGATCCCCTATTCGGTCCAGGCAGCATTTGCTAGGGAGGGATACATAACCTTGGAGGACATTGCCGACCGATGGGACGATGCTTCGGCTGCCAGAACCAATGGCCCCAGGGACCTAGGTTTTGTTAGCGGCTCCAATGGGTTCACGGATCAGAGTAGCGCGTTCACTGCCATGCGCCTCTTTCAGGCGATCAAGGCGGCTAAGGACATGACCAAGAACCTTTATGCACCTCGCTCCAGTGTCACGCCGGGCCAGGCCTCCGCGGACCGCTCCGGCCTGGAAGTGCTGTGTGACCGGCACCAGCTCCTCACGGAGTGGACTAAGGAAACTGGACTCCCGAAGCCGAAACTCGAAGCCCAAGGGAGCGATAACCTCCTCAAGGCGCAGTTTCGCTTCTGCTCGAAGGGGGAACTTGGCTTCATCAGTGCGAAATACATAATCAGTGCCTTGCCGGAGCTCGAAGAGAAGCCATTCAAAACAAGACGGAAAGTGACTGTAGATGGTTGGGATAAGGAAGAGGAGGAAGAGGAACGCAAGCTCCCTACCGCCAGACGTCATCTGGAGAGGATGCATCGGGTTTTCCGCAACAATATTTTTCGATGTGTCTCCTGGCCTTTCCCCAGTTCACACAGTTTGATGCCTCGAAGCATGACCTGGATGAATGGTACGACTGGACGAACCCCAGCTCCATCGGAAAAGACTCTTCTCTACGCCGAACGAAATGCGTGGAGAGCCATCCACAACCTGGTCTATGAGGGCAAGTCGCTCAAGGAGGCCATGATGGAAGTCCGTGCGGATGCCCTCTTTTGGACCAGGGAAGTCTACGAGCGTGTGCCACGGCCTGGTGAGAAAGGTCCGAAGGGCACTCCAAAAGGGGAGAAAGGCACCCCCTTTGCAAAGTGGCCGGGCAAAGGCTCCTGGAAAGGTAAGCAAGCCTTGCCTGTGTACCAGCCTTTTCTCAAGCATTCTACTAAGGGCAAAGAAGGCAAGAAGGGCAGCCCCAAGGGCAAGGGCAAGGAACCTGGCCCCAGAATTGGTCCAGGAACAATCCGAAGGGCACCCCCTTTTGCAGAGATTATCACATCAAGAAGCAGTGTCCCGGCAACTGTGGGCGCTCCCACAACTGCATGGCTGGGTGTGCAATGCCCCTCCGAATGAGCATAGCCCGGACAGCTGTCCCTACAAGTGAGGACTTCCAGTCCCAGGTCCCTTCGGCCCTGAACGAGGAGAAGTGTTGGAGGCGGTGACGCATGTTGCCCCCTCCACATCAGGTGCCCATGGCCCTGATCGGGAACAAGCACGGGACAGATCGCGATCCCTCCGAAGGAAGCCTGTCTCCTCGCCAGGTGGGGACCCCACATGGGGGTCTGCAGCCCTCCAGTAGTGCTCCCTCGGATGACAAGCCCTTCTCTCTTGAACTTTGGATTGAGAAGGGCATTCTGCCTGCAGATTGCTCCCCTGAATGGCTAAAAGGAGTCCCTGACCGCCTGGTCCGGAGACTCCAATGGTCTCCTTCTGTGTGCACTGCCAGCATTCCTCAGGGTGCCATAATTTTGCCCTTCGCGGGTCGGGACTCTCGAAGCGATCCTCCACTCCCAAGCTCCAGAACTCTCCCCAACCCTCCGGTCAGGATCTCCTTAATGACACCCTGTTCGGGTCGCTCTGTGTCTCGGCGCTGCAAGGACGCATCTCCTTTGTGGGAGGATGCCCGGATCTCAAAACATGGGGTTTAGATAGGTGGTTTCAGGACTCTGGTACTTTCCATGCGGTTCGAGCCCGATCCGCAGAGAATGCCTGGGGCTTAGCCGCTTTTTCTGAGGAGACCTTGCACTTGGCAGATGAGGAAAGCACCCTGCTCCTTAGGTTCCTTCTGCTTGCTTGGCTCGCCTTCAAGGCGACCTCGCCCCGTGCCGCCCCTAAGGTGTTTTGCTTCCTGGAGATGGCTGAAGATCCGGCTCGAGGAGCTATTTCCCCATCCAAGAGACGCTCCTCTTCGGCTTGGGCCACTCCGGCCCTGCGCGCTTGGACCCTTGACCTAGGCCTTGAGGTTCTTCATTTTGATCTCTGTTCTTTTGGTTGGGTTGTTAGTCGTCCCTCTAGAGCGGCCACGAACCTTCCCCTCCAATCCTGGGAAGGAAGGACCTGTACACATGCTCATCACCCCAAATCTGATCGTCCCGTGCCGGGGGACGTTAGGCGACCAGAAGCCATGTTACAAAGTCTTGCCTCGGCGCTGGCCGGAATGCTTCGCAACGCGGTCCCCCCGATGGTGGATTCGCCAGGTGGGCCTGCCACCAATATCCTTGCAGTTCCCTCGCTGGGACAGGAGCGTCCTCACTGGGCGGCTCAAGGGTCAGCACCCGGTGGGGCGGCTGTTCAACCCTCCCTGCCTCGCTGGGAGGGAAGCGTCATGATGCTGGGTCTCCGAGTGCAGGTACCCATACAGGCGATCATTTGCATGCTGCGACCCCTCCGATTGGGTCTAATCAGCCTTCGACGCTACCGCTCTACGAGAAGCTTACCTTAGACGATGCCACAATGAGAGTGGCCCATGGTTT